TTTTTTTTTTGTTTTTAGTGTGTCTGTTCTTTTGTGGTTCGGAAAGTAAGAGAATCCATTGCCTTCTACCCACGCCCCCTCCCCCGATCGTTTTATGTTTCGACCGTAGGTTCAGCATTCGCGCCGCTCTAAAACTCTTACTATGGGAACCATGAAAGAACAATAAAAGAACACCAAAAAACAAAAAAACACCGCCAGCTACGCAGGCTAAATTTCACCTATTATACAAGAATGTCAATACCTGTTACCTCTTACCTGCGAATTGGGGCAGCAGGCCATGACGGGACTAATATAGAAACTTTAACACACGTGCACACGAGCGGATTCTAATGCTTTGCATAAAGCAATGTATGTAGCTCGGTGAATCGTTCAATAAAAGAACAAACGGAGTTGCCAGAATTTGCAAAAAGAGATCGACTGAATCACCTTCAAGCTCGCAAGATTAAAACACTCCAACCTCTCTCCCCTCCATAGGAAGAATGTCGCATCCATTATAATTCACTTATTACGTGTCTGCGGATAGTTTTGTTTACTTAAACAATCCACTTGTATTGACTTAGTTCAAAATTTATAATTCTTTTTTTATGAACTTGGTAACAGTCAACATCATTCATTCATCTTCAGTGAAATTCATTTTATTTTGAAACCGTTGTGTCGTTTACTTCCTTAGCCTAAGAAGTAGAAGCCCGTGATTGACAATAAAAATGAACGTGAAAAGTACACTATCAGTACGTTTTTCAAGCAATATTGCGTTCATGAGAATACTGAATCAGGCTATAAAGCCAAGGATCAATCGATCAAGAGAAATTCCTTTATTTTTAAACACGATTGAAGAGAAATACCAATGAAAGACACCATTATTTACCATGGTGTACATAGTTCCGGCGTCTCTTCTTTGTTGAACCTTTTGTTTTCAGAATTCATCAGGCGTGGCCAACTCCACGCCTTTAATTCAAACATAGATTAATTTAAAATTTATTTCCAAAGAACTGGCCTACTTCACATGATCCACCTTTGTGGTTTTACATAGAAAGACAAAACAAAAGTTTCTTCTACGACTTTCACTTTCTCTAGATACAAGCTCGGATAGTGCGTAATTGTTTGAGCTCAACCACTGAGACATTTTCAATGACTCTCCAACTGATCTATCTACTCTTGTAAACATTCGATTAGTTTCACTTCATGTCTAGTGATCTTAAAAGTACTCACCTCAAATGATGCCTTGTTCACCAAAATTATCTTTAAGATGTGTAATAACTGTAATACTTCCAACACAGATTCTGGGCGGTTCAAAAAGGAGCAAACTTTTTGTCGCTAAATAACACGTATTTCAAGCGTTCCGTAGTCAGTAGATCTCGATCAGTACCAAACAAAAGAATCATCAACACATACAGTGGGCCGGGCGCGAGGCCTAATCCTCGCTTCTTTCAAGAATTGATTACGTTAAAGGATGTTTGCGCACGTTGCGGTTTGCTCAGTCGACTTCTTCTGTTGCCGAGTAAAATGTGGCTCAATCAGGAATTGACGTACGGCCTCTGTACACTTATAAATGTCGTTGGGTTAAATAACTGTCTTGAATGCCCCACAGGTGAAATAAATCCGAGAGATACGAGATATTTTCTGACCTGTATTCGATCGTTTCTTCCCGAGATCACTCAAACGTGAGTTACTGGAAACAGGAAGGAGGCTAACAAACACGCGGGAAAGTTAATGATGCGATGAATGCAAGGGAAATATTATTGAGTTCTGTTCACGAATAAATTCGCGCACGGACTCGAGCGGTGCTTTGTAGACCATGTGGTTGCGTTGCGTTTAGGTTTTTAGCATATCTTTGTTTTTCAATGGGGCGGACAGGTGATTCTAAATGACAGGTGAGATTGGCAAAGTGAATTAATCATTTGCGATCTCAAGCGACTTGTAAACACTTATTGTGCTTAATGGTTGGCAACCACTGAGTAGCATACGCGCGTAATTTTCGCGCGGCATGGCGTCCGCGTCAGTTCTCTGTTGCAAATCACGTAGACAACACTTTTCCGGGCAAGACATTTGCATCATTACTTCTTCTTTATTCAAAAACTGGTAAGCAAAAAAATTGTTTTTTAGATGTCCCAGGGCTAAATTGCAGGGTGCCAAACCAGTGAATAAAAAAAAAAGTACTAACAGTTTATAACAAACCGGCGAAACACAACTGAAAAAAGAATAAATTAATGGAATAGAGAAACAAATTATGCTTGTGCCGGCAGAAGTTTTTCGGTACATCTATTAAAAATAATCATAAAAGGACAGTCATAAAAATAAACGAAAATCATCAAATTTTTAGCCAAATTTATTCGGTTTGTTCGGCAAAAAACCGCTAAATTGCTACAGTGGTCTAATTATAATGAAGTCCTCGGTAAAACTATCAATTTTCTTTACCCCATTAATAGTAAAATAAGAAAAAGAACCTCGATATAACGAAACCTCATTGTAGCGACTTCATTTTGCTAGTTCCTTGACTCTTAGTTATTTCGAGGTTCCACTGTATAATCATGTTGGCAGCGGCACTCAGTATACACTTTGTTCAGTCAGCAGCATTCGGGATACGGCGCTTGTAACAAGCGTCAACGCTTCATTTCTGAACCAAATCGACGCGCTATAATCTTTTTTTTTTTTCAAAAGGAAACATATATATTCAATTTTAATTAGTCCTGTTCAAAAGACCTATTTAAAAGAGCATATTGTTTGTTCATAAGCTCTTAAGTACGAAAAACGACGTATCTTCCGAAGGGGATTCAACCGCGCTGGCATTATAAAACTTTTCTCTTCTCGGTGTACATAAAAAAATTTCTAATTATCTTTGGCTCATAAACTTGCGATAAAGAACTTTTGATTAATTTATTTCGAAACAATTTGATAAAAAAAATATGTAAAAATAGAAATTACCTATTTGACCAAGCAGACTAACCAATGACAACCGGTTGATTTTAATCTAAGGCATGAGGCAATACAAGTTCTCCTGCACGGTGAGTCTATGAAACTCTGTTACAATAAAACTACCTTCTCCTTTGTTCAAGACAGTCCATTGTTCTCCCTCTGTCTGACAATATAACTGTTTGTTCATTTTTTTGGCTTTCACGAGTTTGACGGAGTTAATGGAATCAGTCTCTGTTTTGGGCGATTATCGAAATACAAGCCGTATTATTTATGATCACAAGGCAACCATAAATGAAAAAAAAAAAATACTACAGTAACAATAACTTTATTTATTTGCTTTATAAAAACAATTCACAAAAATATAAAAGGTAAAAATTTCTTAGAAATATATATTTTGTGGGCCTTCGCGTCGTTTTCCCCTGCATTATAACTGTAAAGTATAATAAGATAAAATCTGTCCCAAACCGTTACATTAATATAATACGCATTCAGGCCTTTTAAAGTTATTTGCCCTATTATGAATAAAATTCGTAGTTTTTCTTCCATTTTACATTTTGACTGAACAACACACATGATACACAAATGCACACAATGCTAAAATGTACAGGATATAAACACGCTAAAACATCATAGGGAGGGTAAATGTTAATTATCCCTATTGATAAAAGTACAATTTATATTCCCTTTCATAAAACAATTGTTCGCACAATGAAACCTAAAGCATCAACGAATCATTTACAAGGAATATCTAGTGTTAGGAAAGCTAAGAACAATCCAAGCTACTGTGGTAGGTTTTCAAAATAGAGGTATAGGAGAGAGTAGCCATCAGCCAGGGTTCATACAAAAAATTGGAGCCATTTTTCAAAGATTTTTCAATTTCAAGGACCACCTACTAGGAATATAATTTGACAGATTGTGCAAAAATGAACATTCCCAGTCTATTCTAACAAGACTTTAAGGATTGAACTGTTTGCTTCACCAAGTTCTCCACATTTTTTAGTGCAATGGTCTTAGATTGATTGCATAAAACATAGGTCACCCTGTACGTAAATAACCTTTAAATTCTCTGAGCGCTATGATTTATATTCTGTCTTGGACAACCAAACAGCATAAAAAAACTCTTTCCAGGCCACTACATTCCAAGTTGAAGAAAATTCCCAGACTTGCACAGAAATTTAAGGACTTTTCAAGGAAAAATGGAATTCCAGGACTTTTCAAGGACTTCCCCTAAAATTCAAGGACTTTTCAAGACTGCGCGAATCGTGTCAGTACGTAAGGGTATATAAGACTATTTTCACATTATACTGGATAGCTTTTGCGCTGCCGCGAAAATAAAAACGGATAGTAGGACTTCTGTTCACACACAAGAAGAACGGTTATGGCGGCGCCCATAGAGTGACATATCGGATAGGTGTTCGTACTTTCGTGACGCCGCGAAAAGCCATCCGGTATTTTTACGGTAATTGGAGCTATGATGTTTAGCTTGAATGACTAGAGCATCTAATAATTGCTTTGTAAAGAAGGTTTTCAGGTTAAAACTGTCAAGGAGTTTTGTCCTTTAAAGATAAGTGTTCTTCCTATGAGATGCTTGGACTTTTTCATGATCTCCCGAGAGAGCTGCCGACTCGGACCATCTTCGTTTTCCACTCGGCTCTTCGTACTTTATCGCCACATTGCCAGCATCAACCTCATTGGCCGTGTTATTCTTAGCACTACCATAAGATCTATTGGCATGGTAAACAATATCACCACTTAGCTGCTCCTTGGGATTGTGTTCTGCGTTTACATGATGAATAACATCTTTGGTTTGAAATTCCGGTGGAGCACTGCCATTTTCAGAGAATGGCTTTTGCTTCAACACATCTTCGTTCAGGAAAGTGCGCGATCCGCTCAAATTCGGACTCTCTCTGCCAATCTCGTTTAAGTAGCCTTTCTGAAAATGCGCAACTGGCCGCAATCCCGCAGAGTGTTCAATACTGGACGGCGGCGCCACGTTTGACGCAGAGCTTGTTTCTTGACGATGCCATTTAACCCAAGTGTAGACAACCAAGGCAAGAAGGATTACAAGAGCTATAACACACACTAGGATCATCAGGGCATCAAGTGTCTCAGCCATGTTGCTTGTAGTTGTTTCTTTCAATATTTGTTCTGTTAACAAAGGGAAAAGAAAAGTCAATAATCAGTGCGCCGAGTACTAGAGAAGCAAACAAAAACAACAGTACTTAATCACATTCACTTCCCGACTTCCCGTTCCCCTTAACCTTAGAAGAACAGGTTTCAGTCATTTTCACAAAAACAACAAACTAAGAAACGTTGAAAACAATTCTGTTCGCTGAAAAAATCAGTGGCGCCCGTGAAAGGTTTGGCGGAGGCGGAGACTGCGGGGACCACACATACGGGTACGACCGGGTATCTCTCCAAGTGGATGACTTGAAATGGTTTTTGTATAACCTGCTTGAATTCTCCCTTCCCCTAGCCTGCGTGGCAGGCGCAAAAAAGGAAGGGGGAGGGGGAGGGGGAAAAGGGAACCATTTCTCCCCAACCCCCCTCCCTTTCTCCCTTCCTCTCAATCCCCTATCCCTTTCGAAGCATGCTAGGCAGGCAGTTACGCAGGCTACCGCTCCTTCACCTTTTAACGCCTACCACGCAGGTTAGTTCCCTTATGGCATAGACCTTGTCACGGTTTTCGACGCCATCTTGACGAGTAGGCAAGCGTGTGAGAAATTACAGTGTTTGTATCAGAATCTAATGTCGAATAATTTCCGTAAAACGGCTGTTCTGAACAAAAATATCAGTTGTAAACTAAAGCTACAAAGCAAAGGATTGTCCTAAAAAAATTTTGAGGCGTACCTGAGCTTAAATCTTTCCAGAGGCTTGCTTTAGTTTTTTTCATATTCTTGTCTGTAATTTTCCCGGGACTTTCTTACAGACAAATGTATAAGAAATTTAAAAAGTGGCTCTAGGTCTTCTAGTGCATGTAACGCCCTCGAATGTTTTCAGTAGAATCCTTAGAAGTGACGCTTTAGTTTACAAATCATATTTTTTTCAGAAGCCGATCTACGGAAATTATTCGAAATTAGATTCTCATACAAACACTGTAATTTCTCACGCCTTTGCCTACTCGTCAAGATCGCGTCGAAAATCGTGACAAGGTCTGTTCCAGCTTATAGTTGGCAGAGGACGGGATCCAATCCGAAGGGTGTGGGTGCAGTGCAGAAAAAGATAAGGGGCAATTGTTATAGTAGCCTCCCACGCAGGCGTTTTTAGGGGAGCTCGTTCTTCATCCGTCCCCCAGACCTAACAAGAAAATGTAGAAGCGGAGAGGGTGCGTTTTGAGGGGGGCAATCAATCGGAAAAACCAGGGGAGAAGACACTCCATCATCTCGCTTCCACTCAAAAAAATTGGGGAAATTAAGGTCCTGAGCAACGCGGTACAGAATGGTAGAGAAAGGCAAGTTCGAGGATACGCAGTGAAGGGATGGTAGAAAGCCCGTGAAGTAATCTTCGGTCGGGAAGAGGTTAAGACTTGCGTAAAGAAGCCCTTGCGCCACAAAGGCACCGATCATGATGCAAGGGACGAGTGTATATTGAATGTATTCAGACTCCGTTATTTTTAGGTTTTTGAATTCAGTTTATTTAAATGCTTTTCAGTTTATTCATTGTCGGTTTCAGAGTTGTAGATTTTCATGGCTACTCTGGCAAGGCAATTTTTCAAGAATTGTTTTTTAGCGAGATGTTGTAATGTACGCCAGAGTCAAATGTCACTGGAACGTAAGGTGTGACACGTCTAATGCTAAAAAAAACAACAGTTCTTTTTTGCTCACAATTAAGGATAAGGTTTGTCACATGTGAAGTTGGAATTTTGACCTGGGCCTAAGCTGCAAAAGGCAGTATAAACCGCTTTATCGAGCGACTGTCTTCTTACACCGTCTTCTTAGGTAGTACTTGGTGTTTTCTAATCCTTAATTTCAGTTTGAAATAAGACAGAAAGTGTCAAAACGATATCATTCTTAAGAGTACTTGAGTATGTGGAGTATTGAGAAAATTATTTTGGTAGTATTTTATTCGTATCTGATTTCCTGTGTACGCTTCCGGTGGCGACTACACAAATCCAGATTTATCAAATCTTTACAACTTGTGTTCATGCGGCGGAATTAGTTTTCGATTGTGATCAGAACACTTGTCAAATGATCGTCAAATGTTCATTAAAACAATTAGCAATTTAAATTTCTAGGGCATTTAAATATCCGAAGATTGGTTAAATTTGTTCATTCGTAAAATTTTGTTATTTAATAACGAATTTTATCTACCCGTGCACATATCCGACTATTTTTGCTGAAAGTAACGTAAAAGAGAATCTCAGTGGATTTCGTCAACTTGCGGCTTTTTTTAATGTACAGTAGAACGCAGACGCTTTTCAACAACAATAATTCAGCCCATTGTGTTTAGAGCTCTGCTCTTCGACTCCGTATTTTACTGCTGTTAAGACTCATCGCGGGGTACGTTTTATGCAGTTTCATTAAGATAAATCTCTCGTATAGACTTTCTTCATCTAATCTCATACAAGTGAAGACTGTCAAAATCGACTGATCATGAATGGTCTTCTTTCCAAACATGCAAATGAGCAATGATTCAGGCTGCAAACTTTGTTGAGCTCTCCCTGTGTTTCGTGTACATGTCCTTTTAAACGAGCGTGTACGATACCTTATCTGTTTTCGTTGACCCCAGAGCCCGATGCTTCATTCCGTGGGGAGCCGATTCCGTTTTTATGTTTCAACAGAAAGAAGCTCGCATGCCGCACTGGAGCGCCTAGAGCGTGTTCAAAGCACCTGAATGCAAACCCATTGAAAAGAGAAGCGATGCGTGGCGTAGAAGTAATGTTTAAATGCGCTTTCACGTGGATGCTTTGCTACGAAGTACATCAACTCTTGAAAAGCTTAGTCCCCGGCTGCATCGGAAAAAATTAAAAAAAATCTTTTCTTCGTCGCTACTGACGATTTGGGTTGGAAATTTACGACGCTATCACTTAATTAACGCCCTCTCAAAATCGAGTTATAAGGAAACGCCGACCGATGCAACCGCGATCCATCCGTTAACTAGTTTATGCTTTAGTACTTACCAATTAACGATGGTGTCTCAGATTTTCATGAAACCCTTTAAGACTGCGTTTCCTCGCTCTGTAAACTTAACCAACTTGCTGTTTACTCAATCAATACCACAAAGCACGACCACGTTACGATCCAGTGACCATAAACTGAATTTGCATGTTTTGGCACAACTTTAGAACTTGTCTGCCAGCGTCGTCACAGTGTTTGCCGACAGGTTGCCGACAGGGTGGTCTGTTTGTACGTATAGGGCACTGGGCATGAGATGTCACATGATATATCCCACACTGCATTGCAATCTTCAAGCCGCGCCAAGCTGCCAAGATGGCGGCCTCCGCGATAGAGGAAAGTGAAGTAGTGACAACTTTGTCGGTTACTTTGAATATTTCTAAAGAAGTAATTGCCCAGATTGCCAGCTCAAGTGAAGATGCAGCTACCGTTCTCCGTAAGGTTAAAGAAGTTTTTGATGAACGTGCGTCTAACGATGAGAAATATCGCGCAGACATGGCGAACCTTCGACGTGCTCGTGTGAACGCAGGTTTGTGATTTCTGAAATAATTCTGGCGCTTTAACTCGTTTCAGAAAATGTAGAAGAAAATTGAAACGTGCGAATTGTTGCAGTAAACTGATGCGCAGCAACTTCCTATAGCAGGACATATTTTAACAGAAACTTTATCGACGTTCATGCATGCAGTCGTTCTACCTTTAAAATGTTAAAGTTCATGAAAATATAAGCTTAAGGTTAAGCTTAAACTAGATTTAAGAGTAAGGTTTACTTTTGCAAACTTGTTAAAACGAGAGAACATCTTCATATTTAGCGTTACAATCGTTAGTAACTTAAGGAAGTGTTCCTTTCTTTCGAATTTTCCTAGGCTAGTAGACGATGTAGATAGGGCCATGCACTGTAATCACAAACCCAAGGTTGAGCACAGGCGGCCCAAGCTCAGTGTGTGAGTTTAATCATTAACACATGTAGTTTTATGTTGTGTAATTTAAAATGGCCGTGAATATAAAGGATTGCCAAGCCAAGTGGCAGTTTGTTTTTCAAAATCCAAGACAAAACGACGCCGAAGGGGCGAGTACATTTTCACCACAACACACAACCGTTGAAAACCCGGTTGGTAACCCTGCCTCCTCTACAAATTAAACCTCACCTGGGTACCACACCGTCACTTGTCATCGACAATTTGTGAGTCGAACTCTCTTATCAAATCTACCCGAGGGGAGCCGGGGTTCGAATCAAAAATTGGCGATGACAAGTTTTCAACGGTTGTGTGTCGTGGTGAAAATGTACTTGCCCCTTCGGCGTCGTTTTGTCTTGGATTTTGAAAAACAAACTGCCGCTTGGCGTCGGTTGCAGTGGCTGGATTGCTCGGCTAATGAGATGAAATGAAACAAGGACATATTGGCTCGTATTCGGCGTTTGATTTGTGGCTGCTTGGCCATTTCAAGCTGAGGATTTTTCGCCTCTCGCATGGGGCATCCCGAACTGGACTGTGAAGCCTTGTCCTTTCTCTTACAGTGGAAACTCGGGGTTAAAGGGAATCGCTTAAATCGCAATAGATCGGAAAAATAACCACACAGCAAACAAAAACAAGCACAGTAAATATGATAAGCTGTATTTTATTGAACATTTTAGCGAGTATTTATCGATTTGAATCTTTTACCTGAATTCCCATACAAATCCTTTATATTCACGGCCATTTTAAATTACGCAACATAAAACTACATGTGTTAATGATTAAACTCACACACTGAGCTTGGGCCGCCTGTGGGTTGAGTTAAGTTAACTGAACATGTGAAAGTTTTGCTTCCACACAGAACAACAATTTAGCCAGATTGAGAAGCAGCTCATTTCGTGCAATGCCAGACTTGAATCGGAGCAAAAGCAACATGCAAGACTTCAAAAAGAACATGAGGAAACAGGTAATGTGCAACCTGATCAAATGAACAGCCAACAATGTACAGTGTATATACGAAACGTTGATGATGGTCAATGAATTTGCTTAAATGTAAATCAAGGATGAAAAACTAATTGTTTAACTTTTTATTTGTTGTAATTTATTTCTTTGTCTGCTTATGATTTGTCTCATATGTATAGTGGTATCAGTAACAACTCTTCACAGGGGTGTCTCAAAAACTTACCTTGAGAAATAAGACTTCAAAACAAGGTTTTCAATAAGGTTTTAAGTTGGTGGCAAAAGCTTTGGAGTAGGCAGAAAAGTAAAAAACTTGTGCCATAGACACCATTTGCAAGTGCCAAGGTGCTAGCTCCTAGTGGGGTCTGGGGCATGTCTTGGGAAAAAATGTTGAAATCTGGACCTCTTAGAATGCATTTGCAGGATTCTGGAGCAAAAATTAGACTGTTTGAACAGAACATAGACATCACTAAATTTTGGCTTTTTTACTCAGCGACAGCACATGAATACTCAATTTTTGTTATTATCCTCTTGCCAATAGCCATGAACAAGAGATTGTCTCTTGCTATGAACCATTGGCTCAGTTACTGAACTAAATTCTTGCAATAATCGCGATGCTTTTTAAGCTGCAAATGAACCAATAAATGACGGAAATGTAATTCTTTAAAAACTGGTGTTTGAGGATTATTAAACTAAAAACAACGGACATGTATAGACGCTTTTCTTGAGGGCGATTCAGGTCAAGCAGAGTTCTTTGTGTTTTCCTTGCTGTGGACTTGTCGTGAACTCTGCTTGACCTTGCCATACATTGAGAGAAGGCATGGAAATTTACGCACATGCTGTGCTGCTTTGTCACCCAGACCCAACGGTTTTGGGGAAATGCAAGTTGCTTAGGAGGGTGTTTTGCTCTAATGATTGAATGAAAGCTACTCAAAATTATGGAAAGACTTTTTGGCTTTTCATCAACAAAACTTTACCGATCCAAGGTTTGTGTTCTGGGGCGAATGTTTCTCATGTTATTTGTAAAACTGGGGTAATTTCCAAAGAAAAGTAGGCAGCAAGTTCACGTAAAATAGCCGGCAAATTTCACTGGAGGCCGGCTCTTATTGAAACCCCTGTGGGACAAAAACTAATATCTGGCCCAAACACTCAGACTTCAAAAAGGAGGACCTGTCAAAACCAAGAGTGCTAAAAAAGAACCACTAAAATAAAGTAAAATGGTTGCTTTAAAATGAAACTAGGGTATTTACTGTGATATGGCAAGCTGCAACATTTCTAGCATTGTCCAAAGTGACACAACCATTCGGTCCTACTCAATCGAAATGATTAGATTCAACTTTGAGTTCGGGAATCCAATACAAACAAATATCACAGAGAAAAATTGACCTATCAAATCAATCAAACTATGACTGTCAGTTCAGTTAGGCTCAAGGAGTGACAGGCCGCACATTTTCACCGGCATAAAACTTTTGAACATTGAGATACCCTCCCATTAACTACTTTTCCATCTCCGCTTCTGCTCCTGTCACCAAGTTTCTGGGTGGCTCCTAATATTCAAGATAGCAACACATACACTCGGTGATGATGGGAACTTGAGCACCAATGGTATACCCGCGCTACAGTCCAGCCTTACAGTAACAATTCACCAATAAAAATAATAATGACGCTTGTGAGAAAAATATATTTTTATAGCACTACATTTGGGCATATTAACGCAAGTAGTCTTTCTCATTCAAAACTGAGTGAAAACAGCATTTTATCAACAGTACAGCTTAAGCCTTTATCCATTCATAATCTTTGGTTAGTTTTCGAGGTATTACTTTTTGAGACAGGTCTTGGTCTTACAGGTCTTACATTTAGAGGTCTCACAAATGGAGGTCTTAGACAACCCTCCTCACAATGAAAATGTTTCGCCCAAAGCAATTTCACTATAAACCTCTTATATGCATGTAGTTTTAATAATACAGTGTATATGTTTTTCTAGGGGAAATTTACATCTCAAAATGCTCAAGTTTTTTCCACTTATCATAAAGATGCTACAGATGAGCAAAATTTATTTGGTTGTACTGATGATATGTTCTATTCAACATTTTTGTAGTTACTACCCTCACTGAAAAACAAAAACGGCTGCAGGAAGTTGAAAGCATCAAAGAAGATGCTTCTGCAAATTATGTAAGTTACATGTATTGTATTATTTGTCTTGTCCATAAAAATGATTTTATTCCTTGTGACTCTTGAATTCAACGATGGAACAATGTGGGAATAAAGTGTAATAATAGTTATGGGATATGAAAGGGGTTATGTCACACTTCTTGCTACATGTATCTTTTTAAAAAGCTGAATTGGTCTTCACATCCATTGAATTCCAAAAATAATGGTCCAGTTCTGTAACACTTTATTTAAGCATTGAAACTGTGTCTTGTCTTATGTTGTTATCAGGGTTTGCATGCATCTTGAAAGTCGTTGAATTTAAAAAAAAAATTCAAGGCCATGAAAGTCCTTGAAAATTGCAGTCGGTGCCAGAAGGTCCTTGAATTTCAGTGCTAATTTTATAGTTAAGTTGAACTCCAAAGAAAAAGGAGCAAACAAAGAAAGACCTTCGTGATAAAATTACTCATGTTGTGGAAGAACTAAAAAAGGAATAGACTCAAGGCTCTTTTTTGCACTGAATGGAGTCCTTGAAAAATGGGAAATGTGTCCTTGAAAAGTCCTTGAGTTGTTTGTTCAAAAGAGGGCACGAACACTGTGTTATAGATGGCAAGGGACATGGACTGCAAATTTTTGAAAAACAGGCCAATGTTTTTAAAGTTTTATGTAATGCTAAACCTTAGAAAATGAACAAAAAATATTATGTTCAGTGCTCCCTAATGAAACTTGTTTGATGTCTTTTTCATAACTCTACAGTCAGCATTTTTGTATGCTGGGTAAATGCACTAAGCAGTGACTGTAATATCCTTGTGACAGAGCTAGCCGTTCAATATATTAGTTTATTATATTAGCACTAATGAAATACCAGGTGAGCTTTCGCGCGAAAACATGATATCTTCACATGTGAAAATAACATATTATCTTCACACATGAAATATGACTGTTGCTATGGCTACATAATAAATCACTCCTTTCACAGCAAAACTATTAAAGTGAAATGGTTTGGTATTTCATTGGTGTTTGTGTAACAAAATAGAACAATGATCTCTTGGAAATACAAAATTTCTCTTCAAGTGTTGAAAAATGTTTCATATTTTTTAACACTTGAAGAGAAATTTCGTATCTTGGAGCGGCCATGTAATATCCTCTCTATTTCATTGTTGTCTTTTTAGTCAAGAGTCTCAAGACTCAATGAACAACTTGAATCTGAAAAGCTTGAATTGCTATCTGTAGTGGAAAGGAAAAACCAGGAGATTGACAGGTTAAATGGTAAGGCAACTCTTTCATTGCATTTTGATTTTAAACATCATTGTGACTGAATGAACATTATTTATGAAAAAAGGTACTCTTAATAATTATTTTTTTATACCAGTAATCTTTATGGCCTTTGTTAAATAAGTTGAGTTTTCTAATGGTACATACTATTTGTATAGAAGGTACATATGATTTGTGGTCAATTCAATAAAACATTTACATGTACAAGTGTATGTGATTTACAAGTGTAACTATGGTTTTCAGGCTTCATTTATAATACAATTGCTACAATTTTAAATTACACTGTACATTTATAAGAGTTTTATACAATTGGCTCGTGGTAATAACAAAGTTCAAAAAAGCTGTGAACAGCATAGCCTGAGTTTTTTTAGCTGTGAATAAGAGAACAAACATGTAACCAGTGAGAGAAAGGAAAACTTTGTTTTAGAGGGCTAATGGTTAGAAGACCAGATTGTCAATTTGTTAATAGTAATACTTATAGAACACCATTTTCCCATGATGTATTACACTTTTAGAGGTTGACATAAATAGGATTAAATATAATTTAACATAGTTAATGATTTGTAGCAAGCTGTCCAAGCAGTAGATTTGGCATGGCATTAGTGTTTATGGACATATTATCTGGTGTGCTGGCAGATCTCTTATTTAACATTCTGGTGCATATCATTATTGTGTTATTGTTTTTGGCCTAGTTAAAGGGCCTCCAGCATTTGCTTTGTCAGCAGTTTCTCGCATGGTTTATGTATTCAGTACTCAGACTGTTCTGTGCTCATGACATTGTTTTCTCGCATTTTTGTCCTTCTCTTTCCCTTTCTCCATCCCTGTATCTCCCTGCAGTTAGGTGTTGTAATTACATTTACTAAGTTGTTTTCCGCTGAACTTCTTGGCTCTCGGTGACAGGTTCTAGGGATTGGGGGTGAGGGGGGGGGGGGGGGGGGGGGGGGGGGACCCTGGGGGGGTTTGGGAAGGGGGGGGGTTATGGTTGGCCACCACACCTCGTTTGTGGGTTTCCAACCCTCTCTCAGTGACTTTCCCTTTCCCGCCAATTTTTTGTTTTTTTTTGTTTGGTTTTTTTTTTCTTTTCTCTGTTTTTGTTTTTTTTTTTTTTTTTTTTCTTTTTTTTTTTTTCTCTTTCTCTTTCCCCTCCCCCCCCTCTCTTTCCTTGTTGTGTTTTTTTTTTTTTTTTTTTTTTTTTTTTTTTTTTTGGGGTTGTGTTTGTGGGGGGGGGGGGGGGGGGGGGGGGGGGGGGGGGGGGGGGGGGGGGGGGGGGGGGGGTGAGGGCACATGGCTGGGTTTCAGGAAGGGCAGGCTTATAGTGTGCTCCACAAACCTGTCTTCAGGGTATCCAACCTCCATTTGCAAGTTTGGCACTGCCCATCAAATTGTACTCTATTGAAGGCACCTTACAAGTACAGTAACATTACAAGAACTAAGATGTCACACTGAAGATTTAAACTCTCAATTTGGTTTTACATTGAAAGTATTACTTACTTAACCGGCTCTGTATTTGTGTCAACAGAGGAATGGAAGACAATGTCAGAAAAGCTTTCAGAAGCTAACTCAGTCAAGTGTGAAGCTCAGGTTAGTATCAATAGTAGAGAAAAAAATGGAAATTAGAGTCAGTACAGTGTAGTTGCACATTATATATTGTTTTTGTTTTTATATGCAAGTTGTGCTGCGGCAACTCACACATTACTGTTATGTTTTATGAGTTAAGCCTTACTTTCAATGCCACCCTTCATGAAGAGTTAATAAAGGGAGTTTTTGTTCAAGAGAGGTTTTTTCAAGAATGCAAGTGTATTTTCATAGCTAAGCGGAACTATTCAGAGTACATAAAATAATTATGAGCTCATACAGTTTTACCCAGCCTTGCTCTGTGATGCAGTGCAGCTGAGTGGTCAGAACCTTGAACCCGCAGTCTGGAGGTCTTGTATTTGAGTCCTGCTCTGACCAATAGTTAGATTAGTTTCTCACGAGTTATGAGCTCAACTCCTTAGTTACTGAATGCTTGTAAATAACCAATTTGTGGCTTCCTGCCGCGGGGGGTTTTTAATCCCTGTAATATTCTACATTTTACGCATTACTTTTCTCAAATAATGTGAATGATCCGCCTGTAAACTACAATCATCGTCAAAAGTGTTGGGAAGGTTGCATTTTTTACCTCTTCTTTTTCTTCCTCCCCCCACCCCTGGCCCAATGTTGATCAAAACGTTAGTGTTTGTGCGCGCAATTGTTCTGTTATATCCCAACATTGAATAGGGGGAACGGGGGATATTTAGCAAAAGAGAAAACTCTGTTTTTTCAGGATTAAAATGGACTACTGTTAAGTTGTACAACCTTCCCAACTAATTTTGTCTGTGATTGTCTGAAAATTCTGGGTGTGGCAGTAAAAGGTCAAAAATCGACGACTTTTTGTCAGTAGAAACGTCTTCAAAAAACACTCGTAAACAGTACTCTGTTGAAAAAAGATATTTGCCGTACCTTGTTAAGACAATTTTTGGCGCAGACGCCTGTTTATATTCGGCATGTTTTGCAACCCGGTAAGTACAACTATTGCTCTTTCCGGGGCACAGGAAGAGCCAAAATACAAATGCAAGATTATTTTCGGTGAAAGCTATTGACTATAGCATAGGCTGATATGTTTTAAATGTTAAAGCAAGATATAGTGCGTTCACCAGTTCCCCAAAAAATCATTCGGATCGCTACATTGCAGCTGACATATTCCTTAGCAGCTCCCCATTCTTTACAACATTCAGCACATGTCCATTTGCCACGCGAGCAAACTATGAGGCTGAGTGGAAATTTGCTGAATTCTAGAGGCTACTTTCTCTGGCTGAATAACTCTAGTTAAGCCCTTGTGGCACCGCTTTTCGAAACTGGTTTCAGAAAACGAGAACAAAGTACGCTCTTGATTTAGATTAAGGCGTCTATTGTCTTCGTTAACCTAATTAAAAAGGATAACACACGCAAAGTCATCACACACCACATTACTCCATTTTCGTAGCCGAAAATAATTCCTTTATAGTAGCGCTAACGACAAAATAGCCTAATTGACTTGTTCGGGGCTTTGCAAGGACTTAACCAAACGAATTTTAATAGACATTTTAGCTTAATTCTAAGTAAAATACGACATTACTCCATGGGTAGCGTTAAAATTAAACTAACTTTGCTAATTGACCTTTATAGGGCACTGTTTAAATGGAGTAATGTTGGGAAACAGTTGTTAAATTTATCCCCGTAGATAAATGCGACAAAAGCTGTCCATATTCTTACATGGTTTACATGTTTTTGCCCTTTTCTTGTTTGAAAGTTGGTTCATTGAGCATATATTTCGCATTTTCTTATGGAGTAATGTGGTGGAGGAATGTGGAAACCCATGTTGTTTACTGTTCTCAAATTATCTGAATGATTGACAGGCGACGGTAGCACAGCAATTTCTATATGAACTCTGAACATGGCTGAATAAACTCTTTTATAGAGGTTCCGTATTACCTTCAGGCCTTACGAAAATAAAGTCTAGAAGATTTTAATTCAGCACTTATCTCACTCCTCCCTCGCAACTACAAACATCATGTTTTTCTAGGATAGTTTAACACCGCCGGAATGAAAAAAAAAAACTTTATTGTGGCAGCCTTTATGCCATTTCTATTTGTAACATCTTTCAAAACATTTGGCTGATAGGAAACAGCAAAAGTTAACCAGGAATAATACCGCTGATGAAAAAGATGCATGTATACATGACAACGACTGTAATCGTATAGTATTTTTTGACTTAAAAATACTCTCATGACTTTTCGCTAAATCTGGTGAAACAGACAACCTGTGGCCATTCCTTCTACATAGTCCACGCGAAGGAAACGTCCTCTTGCTTCATGAGGAAAATTAAAGGCCTTAAATGTTTTCTTCTGGCGTTCTTAGAAGAAAGCGATTTCACCCAGTGGATTTTGTGGTCACGCTATGAAATGTCACGCGCGTCAGATGCAAAATTCTCCTACATGTATTTATGATTTTACCGAAATATAACCTTTATTATATTTTTTATATAGTTTGGAAAGTGCATTATCAGTACAGTTCCAGGGCGAGATATCTCAACCAAATGTTAAATGCGACAAGTTTTATAAGCGTTTAAAGTTGATTTCCTATTCTTTTACAATCATCGTCAAAAGTGTTGGGAAGGTTGCATTTTTTACCTTTTCTTTTTCTTCCTCCCCCCACCCCTGGCCCAATGTTGATCAAAACGTTAATGTTTGTGCGCGCAATTGTTCTGTTATATCCCAACATTGAATAGGGGGAACGGGGGATATTTAGCAAAAGAGAAAACTCTGTTTTTTCAGGATTAAAATGGACTACTGTTAAGTTGTACAACCTTCCCAACTAATTTTGTCTGTGATTGTAGCTAGGGAAGCTTACTGCACGCACTTCCACTATAAACAATGAATTTACATTTTACTTCTCCTTCTAAAAAATGATTATGTCTTTGCTCTGTAGGCTAAACTAAATCATATTGAAAGTCAGGAAACTTCATTTAAGGTAATTCTCACTTTTTGCCAGGCTAATGATCCATACTATACATGGCTGTAGTTTAACTGTAATGATCCATACTATACATGGCTGTAGTTTAACTGTAATGATCTATACTAGTACATCGCTGTAGTTTAAGTTTAATGATCTACACTATACACTGTACATAACTGTAGTTTAACTGTAGTGATCTATACTAGTACATGGCTGTAGTTTAACTGTAAATTTTTACTTTTTTCCTGGTATTTTTTCTATCCTTATCTCAGTTTCGTGAAAAGAGAATTGAACAAGAAAAGGAGCTTCTTCAGAAACAGGTCACATGGTCGAATGAAGAACTCAAGACAAAAACTGAGGAGTTGGTGAACTTACGTAAAGAAAAGGTACCTGTACACTTACACAGTGAAAAACTGGAATGATGTACCTGTGTGTCATTTTTTTGCATATCTTGCTTAATTCAATGTGACTGAAAAATACAAAATGTGCCAAATGCACACCACTATTGATTGATATATTTAATAAGTCATTTACCACAAGATAAATACAGTTAATGGAACAGAATACCTAAGAGGGAAAGGCTGAGTAGTGACATTAACATGTACATGTACTAGAAATTTTAAAGAGCACAGGAGAAGTGCTTGAGCTTCTCTCACCTCTCAGTGTCATACTGTCATGTATTAAATATTTATGAACATAGTGTTTTCAGTGTTGTTGTTAATCATTATTATTTTATAGTCTTCTCAAGTGTTAGAACTTCAGACTCAGTTGGATGAGAGGACTGAAGAGGTATGAACTATTTTCTTGTCAACCATAGCCTACGTTCACACTGCACCAGACAAATTTTCAACCAGCTGAAAAATTGGAATGAATATGTCTTTCACACAGAACCATTCAAAATTTTTGCTCTCTTCACATGAAACATTGAATGGCATCTAAATTTTGGTATGGTTAAGGTGGTTCCGTGTGAACAGAACACTTTAACACGTGAATTTTCAGCTGGTCAAAAATTTCGCCCAGTGCCATGTGAGTGCAGCAATAGGTTAGTGAATTAGTTATAATGCATATTTTGCATTTAATTATATCATCATCGTCCAGTGTTTCTCCCTTTATTGTAACAAAAGGAAGCATGTGTTTAGCTGAACCCTCTGTTGTTCTTCTGCCATTGCAGCTGTCTCATCTCAGGACATCAGCAGAAGCTTTGAAAGAGAGCAACACTGACATGAGCAACAAGGTGGAAAGCTACATGCAGAAATTAAAGGAGGTAAGTCAATCAGATTAACCTTTAACTTTGCAGATGGATATGGATGCTGATAAAAACTGAATGGAGACACATATTTACAAGTTATTATTGTAAAGTTGTTCTGAGGCACATTTGTAGGTGTAGATAAGACAGAAATGAAGGCACTGAAGCTTGCTGGTAATTCAGTTGTTTTTTTTTTTAAATTATTTTTTAGGCTCGTGAACAGTTGGTCAAGATTGAAGATCACTTCAAAACAGAACTGGCCTCACAGTCAAAGCTTGCAGTTCTCTATAAAGTGAGTGGGTTGTCAGTACTAAGTTAATTGTTGTGGCACGCAAAAATCCTGCAGATCATGAAGTCATTATTTTTGAAGTATGGGCAGGCGCTCTGTAATTTGCTTGTCAATGTTTTGAATTATGGTAATTTCCATTTTCTTTGGCCTGTTTGACTTAGTCATGCTCATTGTGTATGGTTTGAAAAGATCTCTTCCCCTTGAGGTGTCAAAGTTGTTTTAAACAGTGAAAACTGTTGCCATCACATTCAGTACATAGGACATGGATCTATACAGGTGGTTAAGGTGTGAATGGGTTAAAATGCTTGTTTTTGTTTCTGTCCCTGGGCCTGAGATTAAACTACAGTATCATTATTCAATACTATTATTTATGATACGTTATTTATTGTTGTGTCACCCCTTTAAAGTCCTTTTGATTTCACAACTCTTAACCATGGTCTTGCAACTCACGAGTCTCAGGGCTTGTCGGACTTAAGACTGAAGACTCAATTCATGAAAGTTTCAGAGATGGAGATTCAAGTCCTGAATCTTGAAAATTGAGACATAAGTGACTGTCGACCATAAATTCAAGCAGTATTGTACTTCAACAAACATCAATGATAGTCCAGTCTTTCTGTGTTGTCATCTTACAGACAGTACTTAATTCTAACATCAAGTTGATGCTTTCATTAATATCTAGGATAGTGCTGATGAAGCCAAGAAGAAGAGTGAAGAATTGTTGACAGCTTTTGAGGAACTTCAGAAATTACTTAAAGAAGCAAAAGAAGGTACATTAACGGTACAATATTACTTTCTGGACACTGTTCAATATTTTAAAGTAGGAAACATACTTTGGAAAGTGAAGGAATTGCTTTAATTCAATTAATTACATTAAATATAGATGACTCATCACACCATTTTGAGGTATTCAGACCAATTGTGTTTTCCTACTTATGACTTAAATGTTATTACATGTACATAGGTCGTCTTGAACTTGACAGTAGATTACAGGAGCAGGAGAATTCACATGCGGAAAAGACTAAAGATTATGGTGAGTGTCTTTCAATGTGCCAAATATTACCTTCTGAATCTTTGAGACCTATTCCATTGTATTTAACTCGAAGACACAGAGTATTTATTGATGATCACATATTAACCTTCCACACGTATAAAAATGTAATCTCAGGCCCTATCATTTTATTTTTACAGAGGAGAGGTTGAGTAAATTGGAGAGAGAGCTGGAGAATGCAAATGACCTACTAGCTGCAGCAAGACAAAGAGGTAAGAACAAAATTGAAAAGAAGTGCTTGCAAATTGTGAGGGACCACGGATTTCTGGAGGAGTTTGAATTGTTTATCACTTGAGCTCATTTTGGTTTTGTTGAAGATGTTATTTTTGCTCACTTACATGTATTTTACCTAAAATTTCATTAGTTTTGCTGTGTATTCATTGGCTTGTTTTATCACTGTCACTTCATCTTCAGGTGTAGCTCCTCTGACACCAGCTGAGCTAAGCACTCTTTCTCCCACTGCTGCAGCTACAAGTTCATTCTTAAAATCCGGAATGACACTTACACAGGTATGTACATGCTGTAGTCCTTAATTAATATCTATTATGATATAATAGTGTCGAGGCATGGAGGCGCGGGGATCAAGCCTTGCCCATCACATTGTTTCCTTAGACAATTAACTTTGCTCTACTTTGTCTCTCTTCACCCCGGGGGTAACCCTGAATGGACTAGCATCCTGTCCATCGGGGAGTAGCAATACTCCTAGGCATGCTTCATGCTAAGGAAACTGGGATAAGCTGCGGCCGTTTGGGCCTTTGGCTAATGTATGCCTTTACTTATGTTATAATAATGTGGCTCTATCCCTACTGCAAATTGTTGTACAGTATGCCACAATGAAGTTGTGATCTGACAGAAAGTTAACAGTAAAGCCTATTCAGATGTACATGTATCCATCGTGCCAGTAAAATGTCACTAAAAAGGACATAATATGTTGGGCCTGGTTAAACATTTTTATTTGGTAATTTTGGGTTGGATAATGTTTGAGTTAAAGTACTGCTCAATAGTATAATAATATTGTAAATGAACAAGCATACTTTTATGCCTAGTTTAACTTGGTGCAAACTCCTTATAATTAACCAACAACAGGTCTCTTACTTTTGAGGAGTGCTGAAAAATGGTTTGTTCATGTGTGTAATGATCCATTTCACAGCATGGTGGTCATTTTTCACATGCAGACCACCAGTTTTGACATGCCTGACCAATGCCAACAACATAAATCTTTTTTATCCTGTTCTTAGGGTTAGCATGCATGTTGTACAGTGTTGGTTTCTCTAATTGAAGTGCTTTAAAACCAACACTGCCCCATATGGTCCAATGCTGTTGGATCAGTGGGGTTGAATAGTGCTTTAGCTATTTGTGTTTGTGTTAGCCCTTACAAACTTTGTAAAGTGAGATTTACAAGTCAAATTTTTACCCTGATGAAAATGCAGGGAAAAATGCTGCAGCTACGCAGAGTCAGCCCAATGCAGGTTCAGCATTATGTTAAAAAATATGCAAAGTTTCTCTTGTTGTAAAAAAATGGTTTAGTCAGAATTTCTGTTTATTACAGATTTATAGCCAGTATGTAGAAGTCTCAGATTCATTACAGCAGGAAAAAGATGAAAATATTCGGCTAAAGCAGTACTTGGATCAGATACTAAAGGTATATTATTAGTAGTAGTGTAGTATTTCATTGTTTTAATCAATTTAATAGAGGCAGTCACACAGCTGGCTGGAATGAGTTCATTTGCCAGGGACATCTGAAATCCAAAAACAAATCTTTGCAGAAATTGAAAAAAAGTCTTCTCCCCACACGTAATAGACTGAAGTGAACACAGGCACGGATTCACACTAAATAAATAATATTAATTTTGCTTTGTACTCTTGTAGGAAATAGAGGAGAAGGCTCCTGTGCTTCAACAGCAAAGAAGAGACTACGAACAGGCTTTAAACAGTGTTGATCAACTTTCCAGAAGGCTTGATACAGCCCTTGTGGTGAGTATAAATTTTTCAAAACATGTTAGGTCATTAGGGAGTGAAATGTTTTCATTGGACAAGAAGATGCTCACTCTTCCTTTGCTGTGAACATAATGTCTTTTTTTAAGTGAACATGTATCTTTATCCTAGTTCGGTCATACTTTACTTTTACTTAGTATTCAGTCCTTTCACATTCCTGCTGTAGTACTTTAACATCATTGATTTTAATACTATAATAGTGCATAATTGTCACTTTGGTAGTCTATCACAACAATGACAACAACACCAACAAAGGAAAGTAAAATTCAGTGAGCAAAGCCATAACTCTGTTTAAAATCTGTTCTTAGGGTAAACCTTGTGAATGGTAAGGGCTGGGAAACAGAGGAAATTTGGAATCAAACTTGTTTGAATACTGGCTCAACCTAAGAACATACATGACCTACAGCTGTATGCTGTACAACAATCACACTTTTTGGTACATCTCTCTGTTATCCACTGCACGACTTTCATGTGAAATGTCCCAGTGGCACATTTTGTGTAGGACGTTAACTAATGGCAGAGTTAATTCTCTTTTTTTAAACTTGAATGGAATCCTCAATAATCCGATTCAAGAGAAATTCACCTACATCTTGACAAATTGAGCAAGTTGCAGTAAGTTTGAAGAAGTCTAAAAGAATGCAAATTCACTGCCCTGGTAATGTTACATCTGCAGTCATGATCTTGGTTGCAAGCTGAACCCTTTGAATCCTAATTACAAGTTTCCATCTTTTCTCTCTGAACATTTCTGAATATTTCCTGTAGGAGTAGTGGGAGAAGTTTTTGAAGTACCAATAAGATTCATATCTTATGGTCATATTCTTATATGTGCTGTAAATCTTGTGACCACTCTGTGTAATAAAGCATTAAAGTTACAATGGAGAAATTAAGTTCTTGATCACTCTTAGGGCTCTAAGGGTTAAGCTTCCTATTATTTATGGGATGAAAACAATTTGTTAACCCTAGAGGCCATACATTCTTCTTATTATTATTCCATTTTCTGTATTGGAGAACATGAATGTAATATTTTTTTCGCATGATTGTTTTCATTGATGCAAACAGTGACCCCTTACCTTATTATTGACTTGTTACATAACTGTTAATTGGGTTCATTTTCACAGGAAAATGAGGAGTCTAAAGTGTATGCTGATGAGGCTTTCAAGAAAAATGAGCACTTGAAGAGAGAAAATGACAGACTGAGGAATCTGTCTGGTGATCTTAGTCAACAGGTCTGTTCAGCAAAGTACATTCATCCACTTCCCATATCTTGTAGTAAATTTACGCCTCACTGCTTTGTGGTTCATTAATTATCTCTCACTTTTAACCTTCAATTTGGTGATAAACTATGAATTGTAATTCCTCTTGAGAATCTATTAGGATGCATAAAAAAGTGTTACCCACCTCTTTGTTTAACAGTAATACTCATAACCTGATAAAAGTGATCTGAGTGAGAAAGGTCGTTGTGTGATAGCCTAAAGGCAGTGTAGTCAGATGGTCGTGGAGCCAGATTTCAAGTTTTGAGGTCATGGCCAAACATGGTTGTGATGACTGATTATTATTTTAATAGGTGCAAGTACTGTTAAAAGAATGTGAGGAGGCAAGAGGAGGCGTGGTCAGTTCTGAAAGCGGTATGCACCCCATGTCAAGTGCAGAGGTCACCAGCTCATCACAAGTTATATCAGAACATCTGGTCACTTTCAGGTCAGTGAAACTACCAGTAGCTTAAGTTAAGGGAAGCATTGAACATCCTACAGCAGAAATGATATATGCAAATCCTAAAGATACATGTATCACTGATAACTGTATCAGAGAAACAGAAACTGGAAATAACTTTTTACTAATTGTGTAAAGCTGGAGAGTGTGGGAGCAAGAGGCTTTTTAAGGTATTAACAACATGATCTAATGAAGAGAACTAATCTGAGCTCCCTAAGCCCCTGCCTTAATGTAGCCATTCTGTGGAATTTTAGGCAACACTGTTTCATTCCCTATGGTTAAATTTAGACACATTTTTGGATGTAGTGTTGAGTAAGATGCTTTGACACCATGTGAAGGCTGATACAGTAGGACCAATAAATTTCCTGTTTTTGTTTTCCGTGAATGTGCTAGCTGCTCTGTGCCTGCCAAAAATCCTCAGTAGCTGACTTTCTGTGTGTTTGTAAGGAATGGTTTAGGCTTTGGCTGTTGTTTCAATGTTTGAGGTTGCATGTAAGTGTGAAATAGCTTCTACCTGTCACATCTACATGTATAGCTGTAGGTCAACTGGCATAGACAGCATCTTGTAACATAATAATTTTATTAAATGACTTTCCATTTTTGACTTATAGGAGCATTGAGGAGCTTCAGCAGCAGAATCAGAAGTTGCTTGGAGTAATCCGAGAATTAAGTGAGGAGAAAGAGAAAAGGGAAGGAGATAATGTGTAAGTTCAGAAGAAAAAAGCAGTTAGTTATTAAGTCTTGTGTACAACTCCGTCGGGTGATCAGAAATTTCACCTTTTTTTTTCAATGATCTCAGTTTATCATCATAATTGGTAATATTCTCTTATTTATGTTTTTCAGTGTTGAAGGGCTGCAGAAGCAGTTAGATGTTTCATTGAAGGAATTAGATGGTCTGAAGGAAGCAAGAGAAAGACAGATGCAGATGGTTAGTTTAATTATGTAGGTTGTGATGAGTTCGACTGGCCATCAGACGTGGTTAAGACACTTTGTCCTCCCCCACCTCCACCAAACAATTTTGTGCCAGTGCTCAAATTACCTGTAGAAAACAACAAGACAATGTTGGTTGGAGGGTCAGGGGAGGAGTCCATAATGTTGTGGTTTTTATTTCTATACCCTGTTTGACAACAGTGCCTCGACAATTTTGTCACCAAGGTAGTGATATTGATCAAAAAGTTAACATCCATAGAATATTTTTGTTAAGCAATTAGGTCCAAATAAGAGGTCCTCCAAAAGGAGGTTGTACTTAAATAGACACACTACAGAATTTGACACATTGTAATTTAAAGTCCAAAGTGCATTGTGTAAAAAAAAAAAATGTTGATACTGAACCCTGATACATCAAACCCCATATATTAACAAACATCCCAGTATAAGGAACAACATCCTTTGCCTCTATTATGGTAAAATACATTGAGTGGGACTAGGGGTTGTCAGAAAGTTTTCATGTTGGCTGCTTTATTGTTAAAGTAAGTGGCTGGTTTTGGACTTTTTTTTTTTCACTAAAAAATCAAAAGGAATAGCACACTTAAGTTGCTGGCCAAAAGCACAAAGCAGGTGGCGAATTTTGTTGGCTGCCAACTATATTTGAAAACCCTTCCCTATATGACATACCCCCACTGTAATGAATGACTCTCTCAGACTTTGCGATTCTCCCAGTTATTGGTGTTCCATTTACTTTTTTTGAGCCACAATATGCATAAAGCTATCACTCTGTCTGAGCAATCATCCATTCAGTCCTCCATCCTGCTCATTCAATTAAAAAGTTCTTAGTTAGTTGATTAATTATTAACATGAAATTTGTTGTGAGAAGTAATAATTATAATCATCGCTTAAACTGTAGGTTGAGGCAGTCGTTAGGCAGCGTGACATGTACCGTGTCCTACTGGCCAACAGTGGACAAACACCGGTAAGAAAAGACAGTAATTACTGGCTTGAAGTAGAAACCTTATAACTCAGTAAAACATGGTCCCTACAGTGTCTGTGAAAAGTCTTGGGAAGATAACTTATTGGTTTAATTATTTAACATTCCCCCCTTTTTTAGCTGCTCAACCCTCAAACTGGGCTGAAAATGTTGAGATTGAGTATGATTACACATTCAAATGTGGCTCAGTTAATTGCATGCTTGCCACTAAAATTTTACTTCTGCAGTGAACTGAGCTGCTGCATGGTAATTTGCCTGGCTGAGACCTTTAAGCTCATAGCTACTCAGTCATAGTGGAAACTCCATATGTAAACACCTCCCACAAAAAGTTGGCCATCTTTTCAAAATACCAAAGGCCCTATATCTGGAGCTTCCTATAAGTGGCCACGACTACATTTGTGGATGGTCGCATCATATTGTTCTTAATCATTATTTTTAACCTCCTCTCGTCAACCACATGACACATGGTTTGACCTCTGTGTTTGCCATTTGTACTTCACTACGTAAAGAGTTGAGAGTTCACAAGGAACTTTTAGAGACAATATGGCTTTTCTTGCATTCTAACCTAGAAATAATTTCACGTACAATTATTGTATGTGACATTTTTGGGGGAAATAAGTAGACTGTGGAAAACCCCCTGTGGTCCCTACCTTTTCAGAGACCACCTCCCGTAGTTAAGTGAGCACTTAATCTTAGCATTTTGGGCGGGCTCTTAGAGGAGATTCCAGTGCTCTTATATTAAAGGGTTACAGCTGAATTAGAGGAAAGGAGGGGATAATTCCATCTCTGCTGCTTTGAATGCTTAATGTTATTTGTTTCCGTAATATTTCTGCCCATTATTCTAATATGCTTTATGGTTCATTTTTGCAGATCCCAACATCTGATGTTGACATCTCTGTGCCGGCCTCCTCTCCCTTGCTCAAGACTCCTGATAAAACAGGCGCTGAACTTGAGGAAACCAAACTGGCGTTGAAAGAGCTACAGCGACACTTTGAAACTTACAAAGCAGAGAGGTCACAGGCTGAAGAGTAAGTTTGCTTTATTCTAGAGTTTGACAGATAGAGATCATAGTAACGATCAGTTAGTAGCTAGCAAATCCAAGTCACTTTTTTCTCCATGGGTACTTACCGTTTACGTGGAAAAACTGGAAATTCTGTTTGGAAAATCAAATGGTTTGTGCCATTCCGTCTGGAAAGCTTCATTAGTTATGGGCTGTGATATGAGGCGGTGCATTTTTTCCACTTTTCAATCTGTTAACAGCCTACTTGAGCACATTGTTTTCCCATTACGATAAATTCAGTCTATAGTTTTATGTTTACGTACATGTTTTCCACCTGGGTGGTTTGTTTAAATGATAAGCACTCCATGTTTCCAAAAACTCTTTCAGTGATTTTGTTACAAATAGTTACGTGTATGGTGAGTCCTTGGACTAATCTTGTCAGAAATCACGAGTCCCAGTCCAGAACCAACCGTGAACCAATGAGTCCCAGATAAAGAAAGGAGTCTGAAATTGAAAATGCTTAGGCCTTTATTAACCAGATAGTTAATCTGAAGACAGACTCCAAAACTCTGTATTACAGTATGCTGAAATTAAAATATAGTCGGTTAGTCCATCTATTTTAAAGCACAACAAAGGCTAAAAGAAATATGCCTCGTTAAATAACAGCTATAATAACTGGCACATAAGTTACACGAACGGGATAATTCTACAAATATACATGTTCAGATCGATTGATCGAGCTTTGCGTCCCACAGGACGCATGCTATAAATTATTTTGCGTCTTTGGGGATTTTTATGCGTCAGGGATGCAGGACTCCGAGGTAACAAAATCACTGCTCTTTTTTCATTGCTGTCACAGGAAACTCAGTGAAAAGCAGGAGAAATTGCAGGCTAACAACCTTGAATTAAATGGCAGTAATGCCAGGTTAAAATCACAGGTGAGTAGTTATTCAGGTTATTTCTTTGAGTAGTCCCTGTACGGCGTTTTCCCAGTCCCTCTCGGTCAATTCATTTCAGTGACGTATCCGATGTGAACGGGCGGGAAATCTCACATCGGCAACAGAAAGGAAAGCTTGCAACTATGTCTCTGGAATTTGAATATCTGCATCAAAAAAGTCAATGTAAAATGCTGATTGGCAGAGATGACATTAGTAATGACTTCATTACCCTTTGCTCGTGTTTTTCGATGTTTGTTTAGATTCACGCTCGTTTCCGCTTCACGCTGATTGGCGGAAATCTGACACCTCAGTCGACGGGGAGCCATAGGGGAATCGGAGGTGGAATTCAAATTCCAGAGATGTAGTTGCAAGCTTTCCTTCCCTTTCCCGCCCTGCCGCCAGAGCGCCCCGTAGAGCTTGCTCGCAGGCTAGTTCATCAGCTGTATGTCCAAATTAACTCTTGCCCTAAATAACTTACCGTTGTACTCAAGCCGATCCAGCGCCTTGTTGTTGTGTTGTTTTAGCTTGAGTTTGCTGAAGAGCGATATGAGATGCTCAAGTCAAATGCAGAGGCATTCAAAAAGGAGGCTTCCGCTGCTTCTGAGAAGTCAAGGAGCTTACAAGTGGCATACAGCAAGACACAAGCTACTCTTGACTCCACTTCTCAGGTGACTGTTACAAAAAAATTTCCTTCTTGAGTATCTCGTGTTATTTTTTGCTCAGTTTAAACATTGACATGAATATTATAGATTCACATATCCACTGCATCGTGGAAACCTATCTGATGGACCTCTCAAGCAGATCACTGATTTTTTCCTCCTTACTTAACAGTGTTGGTTATAAAGAAGTAAACTTCTTTGCTCGACATATCAATACAATGAAAATAAACTGCCCGTAGTATTGCGCTTTACTGGTACACATTACAGCATTCATGACGTGGGGCTCATACATTTATATGTATAACTGTACTCGAGGAAACTTAAGGGAAGCGTAAAAGCTTTAAACCTATGAAATCAAGGATGCCTTCGTTTAGTGGTTTTTTTTTTCAAAACCAGGATTACCCTTGATGCTAGACAGTAAAACGTCTCTATGTTGCTCTAAAATCTGTTGAACGAACGAAAAAGTGAAGTCAACGCGATATGCGAGTCATTTTGTTTATACTGGAGCCCGGACAACTCCTGGCTTGCAGCTCTCATATTGTGCTGCTATTTTTGCCTTGTTGTACAGTTTCTGGAGCAAAAGGGAGACTGCTCCCTGTCTACCTTATTCTCCAAAGATAAAAGTAAGTTTTCTTAGGGGCTACCAAGTACTGCTAGAGTACAGCTCTGCTCGTACTCCATAAAATGTGTGTTGACAGCATAAAAGACCCATATTTTGTTTCTGTTTTTAGGAGTTGACAAGTATCAAGGAAAAGTGCAACAAAATGGAGGTCAGTCAGGTTTTCTTTGATACCTAAAGATTTCTCTGTCATCTTCATAAATTTTGTTTGCAATGTCCAAAAATTAAAATTAAAATTGAAAACGCTAAATTGAATACAATATTTCTAGTTCTGCGGCCGCTGTAAGTAGGTGGCCATAATTTGTTTAAAAAAGGTATTTTTCTTCTCAAATATTATAGTATATTGTTTTCCTCTGCTTTTTTATTATCTGTATAATCTACTGCAGGCATAGTATTTAAAAACTCAGGTTTTTTTCTAGGAATTGTCCACTGAGGACCCCATAGGGCCCACTTCTGAAATTGTGAAGGGCTACCTTTTCAAGAAAGAGGGCCCAAAGTATTTGAACATTCCTTTACCCCCTTGTTTACCCTACCATACTCATAAAAATGAAATTTAATACAATGAAATGCATGCAAAATGGAAAAATAGCAACTGGGATCAATTAAGGTTGCTAGGAAACTGCCCACCTACCCCTCCCCTAACCAAATATTTTGCAAACCCTTATAAATTTTTTTTTACTTACTTTCTTCTCAAATTTCAGGTAATCTGTGAAAATTTGAAAGCCGAGAAAGCACTGATGAAGGAATCGGAGGTTCGCTTAATGCAGGAAAACAAAAGCTTGCTGGAACATCAGAAATCACAGAATGCTTTAGTTACAAATCTACAGACCTTACAGGTTAGCTATCACTGTACTGATAACAAGGGATTTAATCAACCATCATGATGATGGCAGTGAAAACATCTCCAAAAAATTGAATTAGCATTCTTTCAAACTTTATCGTATTTATTTTGCCAGGCTCAATTTGTCAAATCTGGGCGAATTTTTCTCGAGTTGATTCAGGATTGTATTCAAGTTCAAGAACAAAAAGTAAAAATTTACTGTTGTGAGTTTACGTTCTCCATAAAACGACGCATTAGGACGCTTCACGTGGGCGTCGTGTATTGGACGTCAAAGGAATGTACCAAAACGTTTTTCTCCTAAAACCAATTGTTTGCCGTACGAACCAAACTTACTGAGTTAAGTTCATGAAAAGTTTGACATCTGGCTCAGTAAGTTCGTCTGAATGAGTTCGGATCGTCCAACACTCGTCTGCTTCAGACGGATAGAACGTCTGAAGATCTTAGACGGGTCAAACGTCGATCCTCACATGCGATGATCTAACTAAATTAATGAATTAAAAATTTGTATGATAATGTATATTTAGCCTCGTTCGGTAGAAAATTTATCTCTGATGTGACTCAGTTGATTGGTTCCATGACTCCTAAGTGTGACCAAACGGACGATCTTAATTTAGGTCGACCCTAACTAGAGCTTGGTTCGTCTCGTGAAATGTTCGACGTTTGGCCTAGGCCTAAGCTTCCTTTAATGACTCAATATATTGTTCTTTTCTTGATCCAGCTACTGTGCTCGAAATGATCACTTCAGTATTCAATTCAATGCTTCAACACTTTGCAGAATAATCTTGAGAGATCGGAGTTTGAAGCTCGAACAAGACTTGGTGCTCAAGTAGAGACTTTGCAGCGTGAAGTGAATCTACTGAAGAAGAAGCTAGAATCTGAAGAGAAGCATCATAAGAGTGTTATCAATACCTGGGAGGTAGGTGAAGAATTAGCAATTATTGAATAAGTCTGAGTGGGGTGTGAAGAACTATGCAGACCGTGGAGGGTGTTATATATTTTTTTTGTCACACGAGACCGGGATAGAGAACGCTATATACTCTATACAGATCAGGCCATTTAACAATGTATATACTCAGGGGTCAGAACTTTCTTCCTTTCCAATATGCAGCTACAGTAGCTACTTAATGAAACATATTTATCTCCTCGGTTACAGAACCGTGTTCAAGAACTGCAAACACAGCTGAATGCTGAAATGAAAACCCATCAACAGGCGAGGGAACAACTGTTAACATCAACCAGGGATATTGATTCTGTTCAGCTCAGAGTAAGTTGTTATGAATATCTCATGGATCTCTCTTAACATTTTCAGACTCCTCCTATAAATTTGGCTTGACCCGAAAATTAATGTTCAAGCTTTGCAGTAGTTCCGTCAACTTATAAAGCTGAGAAGAGAATATTGAAAACTCATGCTTGACCACAAAGACCACAAACCTGAATTTTTGCTAGACCTTGTTTTCCTCGGTCATGCTTACCTTAATTCATGTACTCTGTCTATACATCACTAAGTTACCCAAGATGAACTCTCCATTGATTTGACTGTTATGTTAATCTGTGTTTTTGTCTCGCTGTTCCAGTGTACGCAAGCTGAAGCTCAGCTTCAGGCCCGTGAAAAACGCTTAGCTGAAATTTTAGAGAAAGAAGCTGGAAACCTTCAAGAAGGTAGTTCTTTTGTTTCGCTGTTATTCTTTCCTTCAATGCAACACAGTTTCTAATACATACGTCTTAGGTGTCGCAACTTAGGGAAAAACTCTAATGCCGTTGAGCATTTAAGGTTGTTCATACCTATTCTAACCTGTTGTTCTTGTATTGGTTCGAAAAAAGGCATCAGCTGTCATCTTTCGTTAGCTTGAATACGAAGATACCCTTCCCATTCGGGTTTTCACACACGGAGCCACCAACTTTACTCGGCATGCGTTGAGCTTATAACCAAGATCTGCTGAACCTCGTACTGTGCGACGTTTCCATCTTAACAATGGGTACGCACTTTGCCCTGTTTGATATAGTCACCAAAGTGCTGTTGCAGTAACTGAGCACTTCAACAATTAACGTTTTGTAACTTAAAGATGTGCTGACCTCCTCTTCTAATTTAACATTTTACTACAAAAGGGTTTAAAAATCAAATCGCCTGCCACGCAGACTAATAATCAAATGAAAGTTGTTACATTGTTTGTTTGTTTTTTACTCAAACTCAGCTGACAAAGAAAGAATTAGAAAAGAGGTGTCTGAAAAGTACACTGTTAAGGTTCAAGAATGCGAGTTGAAACTAAACAACGCAGAGGCAAAAATTAAAGGTTAGTAAGTTTGTTCATAGTGTCTTCACTTTTAAACTGCTAGTTCTTTTAAACTACTAGTTCTCTTTTCTAAACCCCAGGCATTAAAAAACTAAGGAGTTTTAAAAGCGACACACTTTGTTTGCCTGTCCACAAACTAAAGTTATTTTTTGCCTTCCAAATGGGTTCGCAAACTATTAGTAGTTGCTTCCTCTACTTGTATTTCTCATAAGTAATGACGGTGGGATCTGTTCCTCTGTTAGACTAAGACTAAACTCACCGTTATTATCAATTGTGAATGCGGCGCTCATCTGAGGGCGATGCTGATGTAAAAACAGTACGCAGTGTTTCGTTTTCTTTGTTTTCATAAAGTGGCAACAATATTATATTGATTATTTTACTCCAAAATGCAGTTTACCCCCTCCCCCCCCCCTCCCCCCCAACAAGAAAAAAGTTTGCATAAGTATTCTTTTTAAGTTCTCTTATTAGGATTCTAAATCCCAAGAGAAATTGGAAACAATGCTTATGCAAAACTTTTGGGGGGATAAACAAGGTGTATTATGGGTATGTGAAAGTAGCGAATTGATAGTGACATTCCTCATTGTGAAATGAGCCTTGTTTCTTTTTTCTTACGGTTTTTTATTTCATTTTTTTTTTTTTTCATATTTTAGCTCTTGAGGACCAGTTACAACAGGCTAAACAGCATGCAGAGCAGTATAAGTCCATGTCAGAAGCTAATGAATCAGCATTGAGTGATTTAAATAAGGTAGGTAACAAACGTAACGTTTTTTCGCGCATTCTCGAAAAATATTCAAGCCGGAAAGCTTCATTGTACTTTTTTGTTACCTGAAAAATTAGTGCGGTTACTAAGTAGTGCGCGCGCGTAAGCCAACGTCATTTTGGCGGGAAAACGTGGTAGCCGTCGTCATTCTACTAGGAGTTTTAGAGAGAATGTCGTAGTGGCGGGAACAAGTTATCAAATTTTTGAAGTTTAATCATTTTGCGACCGGGAAAGGGCTAAACCTCCAATAAAAATACTGAGAAAATCTTGTACTCGTAGTCGTCCTCGTCTCAGAATTTAAAGCTCTGTATTAACCAGCGAAAAATACACTATGCCAATTTTTGAACCTTCAATTTCATAAAGAACTCTGATTATTTTAACTGTGATTTATTGGTTCGACCCCTCCCCCTCTGCTGCTTTTGCTTTATGCGTTTAAACGTATTTTCAACTGCAGCCTAAATCTGTTTTTTCCTTTGTCTTGCAAGTATGCAAAGTTAACCAAAATTTTGAATAGGAACTGCCTTTTTTTACTTTTCCCAGACAAGTGAAGAGTTCAAGCAAACAACTGAAAGTAAACTCAGCACAGCCGAGCGAGAGGTTGCACAGTACAAATCACAAGTTTCCTCCCTTCAGTCTCTCAACCAAGATCTGAATGCAGTGAAAGCCAGAATAACCAGGGAAGCCGAATCACAGACAAGAAGTTTGCGAGAAATGTTAAGCAAGGTCAGAGCAGAGTTGGACGAGGCTTTGAAGAAAGCTCAAACGTCTACTTCAGCTGAGATGACTGCTAAAGAGGAACTGAAGGAACAAGCCATCTTGGCCGCAGAGGTAGGTCTGACTATGAGATCGAGGTCAAATATGATTACAACGGAGTTTTCAAGCCAGCTGTCTGTTCAGAACTCCTACTAATCGCTGTTGTTGACGTCGAGACGTAGAGAGACGTGACGTAGGGAATAAGGTTGGTTTGACAGGGGTCTACATGTGAGTACTCGAAACTCGTTTATCAGTTATCTTTTCAGCAGTTTCTACTGAAGCTATCAGTTAAAATATTTCTGCCCATTTATCAGCCACTATTCATTTTTTTTTTATCTCAGGTCTCATCTGTCAGTGAAAAGAAATCTTAATTTCTCGGCTGACATTTAAACGTTTGGCCAATTCTCAATTCTCCACTGCTCTTATTAAACTCCGCTGCAGTTCAATTCCTCAAAGACCCTTTGACTCATTGTCCAATCAAACGGTCCTTGTTGAATTTTCTGCAACAGATTTTACACCACATGTTCTTTTAAAGTTTGAGTAGTTCTAGCTGAGTTTTGCTGTTTCTACACAAGGTTGTCACGTCCCGTGTCCTCTCAGTGTATTTTAGCTTTCTCCTGTCTTTTGAGTCTGTGGATGAATCTTGTAGCGCTACTACTCAATTGAAACATCTTTGGGAGTCCTTTCACAGGGTACTACTTTCTTATATCTAATTTATAAGCCCTTCAAAAAAAACTGATTATGTTTTAAGCTTTTGGACTAATATTAACTAACTTTGGCACAGTGTATTGTGATGAAAGGTCCACTCATTGACTTCTTTTCTTCCTTAGGCTCAAGAGAAATATGAAAGAGAACTAGTGCTTCATGCTAACGACGTACAGGCATTAACCACCATCAAGGAAGAGGTAAATAAGCTTTTTTGCCAGAATACATTCACACAAAGTAATCATATCAGATTTTTAGGAGTATAGTTTTTGTCCCATCTTCATCCCATCATCAGGTAAGTGATATCATGTCTTGCACAAGTCGGGTCCTTTTATGACCCTGCCTCATACTTTTCATCTTGGACAACTGCATGGCTAAATGGAGTATGGGTGTGTTAGATATCCAGGATCGTCCACTATATGAGACCAGCTCCTAGAAGGAGACTGCTCCCGTACTTAGAAATCCTTGTGATCCAGCCTTGAACAGGCACTCGTGAGAGGGAAACCGAAAGGGAACTGAGAAACAGGCTCCTTTTACCACGGGTTAACACGATCAGAAACGATCACAACATGCCGCCATTTCCGGGTTGCCTCAAACCTCTATTTCAAAGTGAAGTTAAGTGCGAAGCCATTGATATGAAAATGATATTTACCCTCATGCAAATAAAACTCATTTTCACAAGAGAGGTTTTGCACTTAACCTGGTTTTGAAAGTGGGAGTTTGTGAAGCTCTGCCTATGCCCTGTGGGCTTTCTCAAGGCTGCGCTGTGGAGAAGGGGCTTAAAAAGTGAGGTGGTGGAAACTAGCTGGAAACGCCACTGGGGGTTGATAGCAACGAGCGGAGAGCGTACTTGAGTGGGGAGCGAGCGATGCCCCCTCTCCATCTCTCCCTTAATACTCCCGCTTTCCCTAATTATTTGAGTAAGCGGTCGCCATGCAGCCACTGAGGATAACGCAGCTCAATTTCCATTGTCTTGCAGTCGAAGAGCCCGTGGAATCCTGGCGCCTGAATTTGTGTAAACTCTGCTGGAAACGATTGAGTTGAATGCGGGCTGTCCTTGTCATATAACATTTTGCTGATTTTCTTTTTAAGTTTCAAGACCAGAGCAGCAAATTTAAGGAGATAGAGGACCGTGCTGTGGCGGCTGAACAAAAGCTACAACAACGCATGAGCTCATGGGAAGAACAAAAGAAGGCCAAGGCTTCAGAGACAAAGAAACTAGAGGCTCGGTGTGCTGATCTTGTTAATCAGAACTCCACACTACATAGCCAGTTAGAAAAGGTTTGCTCCCTTATACATTGCTCCTCTCAAACATTGCTTTTATTTTATTTTTGCGCGTAAAATTTACGTGCGTGCACACGTAAAAATTATGCTTAAGTGGAAATCCACCGGTACACAGTCTCTGTTGGCATTACGTATGGTTGAGTCACTGTGCAGTGGCTGTTTGAAGTATCTTCTGTATTGATCGGTCACATTTGTAGAGAGAGTGTTTTTTTTTTATTTTCCAGTTAAGTGCTCAACTGGCAGTCAGTAAAGAGTCATCGCTTAACATTTCCCTGCCCCCTAAAGAAGGCGTTTCTGCTGAAGGGGGTTCAGAAGATAACAAGACAGTAGAGGAGCTGTGGGAGATCATTAGGTAATTCACGTTCATAGTAACGGTTTTTGAATGGTTCATTTAAATTGTCCTTCCTATCATGCGAAGACACTAGAGCAGATGATTAGAGTTTAGACACAATTATATTTCGATTGTAACAGTATTTCGTCATCCAGTTTCCTCAAAGTTAATTTATGTCGTCTAACTTGAAATTGAAACACACGTAGAAATATTTGTTTGACATGAAGGTACGACAATAGTTTCTTTATTAGCGTTGAACTTTGTAGACAGGAACTCGCAAAGCTAAGCGAAATGGACTAAACTGCCCCCCTTGAAAGTTCTTTCGTTTTCATGGCAGGTTTGTTCGCCGGGAAAAGGAGATTTCTGAGACAAAATGTGAACTGTCTCAGTCGGAAAGCATCCGCTTTCAGCAACGATGTGAATACCTGGAAGGTCAGATAGAAGAGCTGCAGAAGAACATAACAGAGCAACGGACACAGTCTGAAGTGGACACACAAACTGCAGCTCAGCATGCAGAGATTATGGAGAAAGTAGAAAAGCTCAATGAACTGACTGAAGCTAATAAAGTACTGGCGAATGAGAAGGCTAGTGCAGAGGAGACAGTCCGGGAACTAGTGACAAAGGTACAATCAAACTCCTGTTTTACAATAACTGACCGATTTCCCCGCCCACCAAAGTTTAAAAAAAGTCACAAAAAATTCAAATTACCCTCTGGAAAAAAATCTCAACAAAATAATAAATAGTACTGTGTAAACATTTTGCCAAAGAGGTCTTATTTGAATAGTAACATCATAGGATTTCATCCACAGACTCAAAAGTTAGAACTACACACTAAATAAATAGTACCATGTGATAGTACTGCTGAAGAGGTTTCATTTGAATGGTAACACCATAGGATTTCATCCACAGACTCAAAAGTTAGAACTACATACTCAATAAATAGTACCATGTAAAAGTACTTCTGAAGAGGTTTCATTTGAATGGTCACACCATAGGATTTTATCCACAGACTCAAAAGTTAGAACTACACACTAAATAAATAGTACCATGTGAAAGTACTGCTGAAGAGGTTTCATTTAAATGGTCACATCACAGGATTTCATCCACAGACTCAAAAGTTAGAACTACAAACTAAATAAATAGCACCATGTGAAAGTACTGCTGAGGAGGTTTCATTTGAATGGTAACATCGTAGGATTTCATCCACAGACTCAAAAGTTAGAACTACATACTCAATAAATAGTACCATGTAAAAGTACTTCTGAAGAGGTTTCATTTGAATGGTCACACCATAGGATTTTATCCACAGACTCAAAAGTTAGAACTACACACTAAATAAATAGTACCATGTGAAAGTACTGCTGAAGAGGTTTCATTTAAATGGTCACATCACAGGATTTCATCCACAGACTCAAAAGTTAGAACTACAAACTAAATAAATAGCACCATGTGAAAGTACTGCTGAGGAGGTTTCATTTGAATGGTAACATCGTAGGATTTCATCCACAGACTCAAAAGTTAGAACTACATACTCAATAAATAGTACCATGTAAAAGTACTTCTGAAGAGGTTTCATTTGAATGGTCACACCATAGGATTTTATCCACAGACTCAAAAGTTAGAACTACACACTAAATAAATAGTACCATGTGAAAGTACTGCTGAAGAGGTTTCATTTAAATGGTCACATCACAGGATTTCATCCACAGACTCAAAAGTTAGAACTACAAACTAAATAAATAGCACCATGTGAAAGTACTGCTGAGGAGGTTTCATTTGAATGGTAACATCGTAGGATTTCATCCACAGACTCAAAAGTTAGAACTACATACTAATTAAATAGTACCATGTGGAAGTACTGTTGAGGAGGTTTCATTTGAATGGTAACATCATAGGATTTCGTCTACAGATGCAAAAGTTAGAATCATATGATAAATGATCTCACCATCTTAAACTCAGTCAGGAGCAAAAGGGTTTATTATGTAAAAATGTCCCTCCATATGACGTGGTATCAGTGCGGGTTTTTCACTGTGGATAGGTGTCCGCATTATACAGTGTGGTGTATGTACTCTGTCATCGATGTTGGAAAGTATACTAGATTGCTTCCTTTTTAGGAGAGTCTGGTTGGGTTTGTTACATACTAGTGAGGTCATTACAGGGAAATCTCAGACCGAGGCCTATTAGCGAAGTCAATACATCAAGGCCGTGGTCTGAGATTTCCTTGTAAATGACCCAACAGACGAGGCTAATTAGTTATTTATTATAATAATATGGCCTTTTCACTATGGACCTGAGCCTGCGATCAATTAAAACCAATAACTGATCAGTGGATAACTTAAAAAAACACGGTACCTTAATGGGTTGTACACTTGAGCCGGCGAAACAGTCAGGTGACACTGTTCAGGGTATACCCTTTTTGACAGCTGTCAATTGAGTTGAATTTGATGAAATGTGAAAGACAGTTTCATTCTCTACTGCGAAAGCAAATTTTATTTGAGTTAATAATTATTTAAACATATCAAAATTGTTGTCTCTTAGATCCAGCAGTTGGAGGGAGAGATGCGACCACTTAAAGTTGATATACAGTCATTAACAACTCAGAAAGATGCAATGCTAGCCGAGAAGACTGCTCTGAAAAATGAGGTATAATGTTTTTTCCGTTTGCCCTTAGGGATGAAAAAAGAACTTTGAGTTGTTGTACTGGCGAATGTCACCTTCCAGTTGTCATGGAAGTACCGGCTACTCTCCGAACATATATGCTTTTATATTTGTTTCTTAGCACTTCGTTGCGATGAAAAAAAAAAAGGTATATGAAATAAAGCAATATGTGCAAATAAAGGTGCAATCCTCGTGGCTAAAATTCTTTCCCCGGTCGCTCAAAAAATGCCCTAAAATGCATTTCAGGGCCCCCAAAATTATTCAACTAAAGACAGATGTATACCTTTGCAAGAATGAAGTAAACGTATAATTAAAGAAGCTTTGTCGCGCTGTTTGTCTTATCCTTTTAAAAAGCTGAGACTTTTTTCTCGCACCAATTTAAGTTTAAAAATAATGGACCGGTTTTCATTGAAACTGTTTCCTCTCGTCTGTTGCAACGGATGGAAATGGATTGAAACTTGAAAAAGTTGGGCCAACCTTTTCAAGTTTTGCAAAACTCACCAAAAGAGTTATTATGGTTGGTGCTTCCTTGTGAAATTTGTTTGATATCTTCTTCAGAACTCTGCAGTAGCATTCCGTGTATTGGTAAAGGCACATTATACGTTTCTCGGAAACTGCCCACCTACCCCTCCTCTAAGCCAACATCTTGCCCTAAGTGAGAACTAAGTGTTAATGTTGGCTTAGGGGAGGGGTAGGTGGGCAGTTTCCTAGAAGCGTATAATGATCCGAAATGACTTGAGTACAGAATTGATCTAAAACAGCGATATCCTCGTGACATTATACCCCCTTTAAACCACATTTTGCTTTGATTTATCTCATTTTAGATCGTTCGATGGCAAGCTAAAACCAACCAGTTATCAGAACAGTATAAGAATGTTGATGCTGACGAGTACAAGAGAATGAAGGAGGAGAAGAAGCAATTTCAGCAACAGATTTCCAGTTTAAAGAGCGACAACCAAAGGATAAGAACCCAAGCGGAATCACTCAAGTCTGAGTTGTCCAAAACGCAAGGAGAGCTTGCTGGACAAAAGGTAGGGTTTTCCTAGGTGGATTATTTCAGTATTATTCAGACAGTAATTCAAATTGGTTATAGAATTTGTCACCAAAAGGTGCGCTTGGGAACTGGTGTCTCATTTTAAATGTTAGAGGGGGGCCTGATGTAATGCAAACCAAAGTGGTATCCATTACAACCCTGGACGCGGGAACCACGCCTGCAGCGGCGCCATGAAGTGACATCATGCAATATGTTTTTCTATAAGGCATGTATTTCTTTTTATAGTGTGTACATGTTCTACTTACTTACCTGCCTAAGACAGAAACCCTTTACGATCTTCAGCTTGCAAATCCACATAGGTCGTTCTGAGTAGCATCAGTGAAGCTTGTAGATTGTTGGTCACATCACAGAACCGTACGTGAAACATTAGTTTTGTGCTCTTGGTGATCCTTTTTCAGGCCATGTCACAGAAGACAAATGATCAAATATCAAGTCTGAAGGAGGAACACGAAAAAGCAGTAGCTAAACTTCAGGAGGAGGTTGCAACATTAAAGAGCACGGTGGATGCCAAGACTGAAGAAGTCAATGAGAAAAACAAAACTCTGAATCAGGTTTGTTCACTTCCTTAGTTACATTAGCCTTTAGTACTCCGTTGTTATGGAGACCAAGAATCATTATCAAGACAAAAGGCAAACGTCGGTTTGTACCACTTTACCAAGGTTTCTCTTACTTGACGTTTACTGTTAATAACAGTCACCCAAAAATGAGCAGTTTCTTGCCAGTTCCAAATTTAACAACTTCAGTGTCAGCGTGTTCAGAAGCAAGGGGGGGGGGGGGGGGGGGGGGGGGGGCGCGCAGAAGAAAAAGAAGTAAAAAAACCACTTTTTGTTTTTTAAAAATTTTTTAAAAAAATAAAAAACTGTAAAAAAAAACAGGGGGGGGGGGGGGGGGAGGGTTGGGGGAGGAGCACTTGCTAGGTAAATAGATATAAGATACCATTTTATTTTTCTGAGAATTCTTTAAAAATAATACAAATTCTGTAGAAAAAAACTGGGGGGGGCGCGGAGGGTGGTTGGCGGTCCCCTCGGACCACCCCTCCCATGATCCTCTCATGATTACAGTAAGGGCGTGTTCGATTAACCATATTCCGGAATCAGCATAAATGGAAAAAAACTCTAGAAGTCACTGGCATTCATTGCTTTGCAATATCTAAAACTCTGCTGGAAATAATATTTCGATGTATGTAACGTTTAAGTGGTCCAAAAATTAGGGTAGAAGAGTTTTGTAACAAAACTTTTGAGTATTCTTATTCCCGAATACGATCAATCTCTCTATTAGAGACCTTAAGATCGAGGTTTTTCGGCATTTCCCGCGAACCTCAATATGTCATGTGACCAGGGCCTTGCCGTTAGGTTCACGTTTGTGCGGCTAGACCACGCTCCAGAGGTAAGTGATTTACCGCAAGGTTTTTTTGCACCCTAAAACATCACAGTCCCACGTTTGAGAAGGAATACTACCTTTTAGAACTCTTTCGCTCCGTTAACCGCAAACCACAGTTTGTCGTTTACAATTAAATGACCAAACATCGATCTCAACGTCTCTATTGTCCTGTTATCTGTTCTTGTTTTTAGGTAATAATGATATTAATAATGTTAAAGGGTTATGCATTGTGCTTGTTTTCAGGTCAAGAGAATAGCTCGTCGTTATAAAACCCAAGTGGATGAGCAGACAAAGGAGATGGAAGAGCTCAAGAAGAAAGTTGAGGAGTCTGGGCAACAGTCTGCTGCAGAAGGAACTGCTGCTTCAGGAGCATCTGCTGCACCTGCAGACAATGTTGATGTAACTTCTTACGAGAACAAGATTAAAGAGCTAACAGAGCAGGTTAAAAACACTGAAGAAGAGGTGAAGAAACTCAAAGAGTTAGATGAACAGAACAAGGTGGGTGGTCCAGTCCTTGATGATACCTACTTTTTTTGTGTGCGTAGTCGGTAAGCTGTCGTGATGTTAGATTTGCGATCGGAAAGTCAGGTTGTGTGTAGAGACATCTGTGCTCTTCCGCCCTACTTTATTAATTTGGAATAATCATTTGATGTAATATATTCAACCCGACTTGATTTAATTTTGAATCATCATTTGATGCAAAATATTCAACACAAGAAAGAGTTGTTTATCAAGTTGGGAGAGAAATTATATGATAGTAGTAGGCTTGACTAAATCACCCATGCACCCTCAAAAGTTTTACTGTCGGCCCTTGCGGATAACTGTTCGGACCGCGCTATCTTTTACCTTTGTGGATTGTTTTAAAGTTTGAGTGTACATCGGCGGATCGTCTGTGCGTGAGCCTTTTGGCTTGCAGTACTCCCTGCTACTAAGTGGTAGCTAAACCAAAGATAAACCGTAGGGTGGAGGGAACACTCGGTTGACTTTAACCAGTATGTGAAAGTCAAAGTCGTTGCCTAAACCATTTGATATGGGCTCGTCTTTCACTCGGTTGACTTTAACCAGTATGTGAAAGTCAAAGTCGTTGCCTAAACCATTTGATATGGGCTCGTCTTTCTATATGCAACTGTCAGAGTCAGCGCTTTGTGCCTTAAATTCGTTTGTCTTTAAATTGAATTTTGTTCGTCTGATTTTTGTTATTTCATTTATGTTCTTGTAGGTTTCGTTGAAAGAAAAAGAGGATAAGAACAAGACGGTGTTGATTCAAGCCCGATCAAAGCTGCAACAACTTACAGGTATGCGAAGGAAGGAGGCGCTTTACAGTCAACAGCTGTACCGTGGCAAAAAGCAACTTAAAGGGACCGTGGCACGAGGATATTGCTGTGCTGAATTCATCACTAAGAGCCCATACGCAAAATGCTCCATTAGAGATATGTAGAAAACATCGAACAAATTTCATCAGGGGACATTAACCATAATATTTTTGTGTGTGTATGGTAGTGATTAAACAGTAGAATGAGAGTGTGGCAATATCCCCCAGAATGCAGGGAAAGTTCGTGAATAAATTCCTCAAAGTAATGCTTCATTTTGTGCTTTCGGCGCAACCTCCTGGTGCAAACATTAGTAACAGTTGAGCTTCAGGTTCTTAGCTGCTTTGCGTTCTCTTTTGTCAGCCACCAAAGACAGAGTGAATGCAGAAAATGAAGATCTCAAGAAGAAGCAGAAATCTTTGAGCGATGACAATGAGAATTTGAGTCAACGATTGGGTGAACTGGAGATGAGGTCGACCGTTGTGAAATCTCAGTACGAGGGAAGGATAACAAGGTTAGAAAAGGAGTTACAGGATGCTAAGGAGGGTAAAGAGAAGTTAGAGAAGTCTTTTGATGGTACAAAGAAGCAACTTGAAGACATTCAGCAAAAACACGATCAGTAAGTCAATGACTTTACTTGACTTTTTACTCCAATATCTTGATAAATGATTCCATTAACGGATGGTTGACAGTTACAGAAGAAACCGTGCGAGTCATAAAGTAAAGGAGGAATGTGCACTTGATTCTTTGAAGAAATAAAACACCTTTTTTGTTTTAAGTTTAAGCCCCAGCCAAAGGGAAATGCAGGTTGATACAAGGTTTGGAAATTTTACTTATAAGAAGATAAATAATTAAATGTTGATCCTGCGCTTAAAGAATTAGGGACTTATCACATAAGCCGGGCGGGACTGGTTTGCCAGGCTAGCTCACTCTGCACGTTATTCAAACGCAACAAAAACCACCTTTGTTTCTGCAAGACAACCAAACCAGCCTTCCCGGTATCGTGATACCTGGATCTGATCAACCGGGATGGAAATTTTCATGTAATTGCCCTGAATTGCACTCACCGGGCCAGCCTCCTACTTTAATTTTGGAAATTTCACGCAGACGTGCAAGTTTGCTTAGTTGGTTGCATTTGCACTTTCGTGCGTAATCGAATCAATAATGTATTCACTTAGTTTTGAAAATATAGAACAAATCACTCACCTAGCCTGCAGCTCTGCAAATTGATTGGAACAAAATAAAGTTTTTACATACGAAAAAGGTTCAACTCCCACAGGATTGGTTTGACAGACCAACATGGCGGACGTGACTTCATGTCAAAAGGGTCTATAAGTTGTTAAACAAATATTTCTTGCTTGAAATACAGGGAAACTGCAAAGTTTCAACAGAAGCTTCAACAGTACCAGGCGTTAATCCAGAAGCAGCAAATGAGGATCAAGTCTCTAACAGCAGCTTCTGCAAACTCTATCTCCAGACCAGCCCCAGGGGAGACTGCTGGAGCGGAGGCGTCTGCAACCCAAGGTTTGTTAGAAATTCATGAGATATTAAGTCTCCGAGGTCCAAATATATTTGTTCAATTTAGGTTCCTTTCATTTCTTATTTCAAATATTTTTTCCTCTGGCTTTTTTTCCCTTGGTGGTGGTGTTTTTTTTTTCTGCACATTTTTTTGGTTTTTGTCTTGGTAAAACTCCTTCCACCCTGCCGTTTTATGTTCTTCAGAACTCCTTCCACTCGCACGGAATAAATTTATTTTTATTTATTTATTGTATTTTTTTAATAATCCTCTCTCCTTGTGGACCTTTTCAGGGATAATGAAACAAATAATTCAAATGGAACACAACATTGAACTCGGGACTACCGAGAACAAATCCAGTTGGAATTCAGGGCGGGACTTGAACTAGGAGCCTCCGACCTACAAGTCCAGCGCGCTAACCGCTCGGCCACGCCGCCTCCTTTTTTCGGTTATGTATTTTGGGGTAGAATTACTGATTTCTACTGGCATAATTTGACAATCGTGATAGGTAGACCACAAAGATGAAGAACTGTGTTACCCTCAAATGGTGCAGGCGGTGAAATTTGCCTGCCTGTGTTGCTGCAACTCGTTTGGTTTCATTTTAGATTTTCTGTAAGAGCTATGCGACCTTAAGTCTGCTCTGTCAGTTAGATTTCAGGTTGCCGGGTGTATGTTATTATTAAGCTGGAAATTGAATAGCTAAGAAGTTTTTTCGGTTTCATTTTCCTTTTGTTTATAATGAAAATAGCCCGGGATCATGCATAGAGTAGCTGGGCAAAATCCGCAGCCCCTGGCCCTTAGTGATTTCAGGACTATGATTTAGAACTCCTTTTGGAAATCGTTTATTGCAGAAGCCCCGAGCACTGCTTCGACTGCACCACCAGTGTCACTGGTACCTCCAACAGCAACAATCAAACCCACCACCACCCCCACAGCCATTAAACGGGCAGGCCCTAAGGCAAGCATCAGACCCATAGCAGTGGCACCAACACAGAGCACCCCAACCCCCACAGCAACTGTTTTACCCACTGTCACCTCCACCCCGTCAGAAGCCGCCAGTGTAAGCGGAGTCATGAGGGCAACTGGGACAGTTATTTCTACAGCCAGCAGTGTTTCTACCTCTGTTCCAACAACAGTGTCTGTGCGTCCTATTACAAGCACTGAAGAAGATCAGCAACAACCGCCAGAGTGAGTAAATTGCGGTCTTTGTGCAATAGGCCTTTTGCTATAGCTGGTCTCGTGATCAACTTTGTGAAAACACGAAAATAGTTCGCTTTTAGAAAATGTTGTCAGCAGTAACTGAAAGAGCGTATTAAAAATGTAACTTATAACTGTTCAGCCGTACATCTCAAAAGTAGCGATTGCAACGGCCGCCGAAAATTAGAAGGATTTGTATGAGAAAAACAACTCTTGCCACTCAATCACGCTTGAGTGGTTTTCCATCAGCACAAATCCTTGTAAATTTTAGAATTTCCAAACTGTCGTTAAATCTTTCCCTTACGCATTTAAGGGCTCAAATTGTCTGTCATGAATAAAAAGGAGATTTGAGCCCTGTAATGCTAAAAGAAATATTTTATGACAGTTTGAAAATTTCGAAATTTACAAGGATTCGTATGGAAAACCCATTGTTTTCTGCCATTTTAGGGGAGAATCAGAAGTGTCATCTACAGAAGTGACAGCTAGCGAGCAACTGCACCCTATGCCGTCAACAGCTGTGGTGTCCGGCAAACGACAGAGAGACGAGCCTCAGGCGACTGACAGGTATGTTGGGTACATAGACGTGGGCTTTAAAAGAGCTGACTAACGATTGACTCCTTGTCCTACTTGACACGTACTAAACTTCATTTGTAAAGTTTTTGTCATCCACTGAGTTTTAACTGGTGGGTTGCTTCGCAGTACCTTTATAAGCTAACCTGAAAGGCCAAAGAACTTCCTTAGTCAAGCGTCTCCCTCTCGGAATCCAGATGATCTAACGAATGGCTCCTATGATTACCACCTCGAGAATGGAACGTGCCCAGGGTGAAGTCAAGAGCGGGAAAATCTGAAATGATCTTGAAATTAATTTCCTCAAAAGTCGTCGAATTTCTCCAAATTATCAAAGCAAAGTTCAGCATCAAGTACTTTAAAGGGTGCACGCCGCAAGGAGTTCTTCTTGCTTTAAAAAAAATGTTAACTGACAAGGGTATATGGTTCAATAACAGTTTCCTGCATCAATAACAATTATTGGATGAGGCTAAGGATGATATGAAGAATTATGCAGATCTCGGAAGGTGTTATCCACCGAAGCCGAAAGTTTCTCGACAATTTCCCAGGGTATGAACGGATGTTTTTTTCGTGTAAAAGCAAATGACATCCTTCTAGTGGTATTCCTGTCTATTCCTGCTACCTTTTTGAGTCAATAACTCGGGTATCGTCTCCTTGCATAGCGTGCGCCACGTTTTCGAGCTCTGCGCTGTCAAAACAGCTAAGCCGCCACCTGGCTTTCTCTGCGTGACGTCAATTGTCCAATAATTACTCTGTTATTTACGATTGGTGTCAACTGTAAAATAAGAGCAAAGTTATCTCCTATCTTCCAAATCAGTCGGTTAGTACTTACTCTTTATGAAGAATTAGCTGGGATAATTAAGCCGATCAAAACGGAGAAATATTTTTAAGGAATAATAATGCTAGTTTATGTTACGTGGACCTTTTACATCGTTTTTGATCGTTTGTTGTAGAAGTACCACTGAGGTTGCAGAAGGTACCAGCACAGAGGAAGAACCTGTGTCAAAGAAAATCAGAACTGCTGAGGTTAGTAAGCTTTTGATACTCTTGTAGTGAATAACGGTAAAGTACAATCTTGGACAAAACGTGTTAAGAATTTTGCACTTTCTTACTCACAGGAAACCCACCCTGCGCATTTGGCACCATTGTGACCCCTCTCCCTACCCCTCCCTGGTCAATAGGGAGTTTAAGATACCACAACGACGACAACGGCGAAAACGTCACTTAAAAAGTGACTTCACGTTCTTTGAAACTGCAGCGCGATTATCACAACTCCCTCACTTTGTCCAATGTAGGCAAACCTTCCTGGATTTGAATTCTTAAGAAAAATATTCACGTTTAAAGAGAGCCGAGAGAAATTCGTCGTCGTATGTTCACGTTGTCGATAAAACGTGAAATTAGGCAATTCACGTCGTCTTAGTTTAATAGGTAAATGATTCCAGAGGTGTAATTGTATGTTGTGTATGTGTTGAATAACGCAGTCTCTTTGTGATACAATTTCACAGCTCTGGCTTGCTAGAATTGTGTGCCATTTGTATTTCCATAGCAGGTTCCGTTTGAAGGAGAAGTAGGAACATCACAGGAAGCTGTTGTAGAGGAGGCAACCACAGCCGAGGAACCAGACAATCAACTTGAAGAGGAAGAAGAAGAACTGGAAGAGACGGCTGATTTCCTTGAAGGTGATGAGGGCGAAGATGAATGTGCAGTGGAAGAAGAAATGGAAGAAGGAGATGAAGGGGACGAGGAGGAAGAAGAAGAAGAAGAGCTTGGTAAGGCTGGGCCGGTGGATGCAGGGAAACCTGTGGTAGTCGCACCAGAAGTTGTGCTGATTGAAAGTGATGAAGAAGAGGAAAAAGACGAGCAGTATGAAGAACGTGGAGGTAGGCAATGTTTGCTCTGTTTACCTTCTATATTGTGGCCCACCTCTCTTACGGCCTCTCTTACGGAATTGAACCTGGAGCTATGTGAATTTACGCGAACACCGGGCCCAAATTTAAGCCGGGAATTTATTTTGTTTTTCTGTCAATGGTGTTGCAAGCGAACCCTTCGGGTATAGTCTAATATTCAGTTCCATAAAATTTGCGTTTTCGTTAAGATTATGAAGAAATGGAGGAAGGGGAGGAAGAAGAAGAAGACGAGGAAGAAGAGTACGTGGAAGGAGATGGCGATGAAGGAGAAGAGGAAGACATTGAGGTCGAAGAGGAAGAGGAGGGCGAGGAAGCGGAGGAGGCAGAAGAGGGAAAGCACGAGGTGGTGGAAGTAATTGATGATGATGAAGTAGATGAAGATGTTGGGGAAGGACAAACAGTGGACGATACACCGTTAGAGGAAGAAGCAGGAGAGGACATCGAGGAAGGTGAGTATGTTCAACGACATGCATTGTTGGGGGAACCACATTGACAACTAGTAAGGAGAAAGGGGTGCTAATCACGGTAAGTGCGTAAAGAGCTAATCATGTCATCTTGATTGACTTTGTCACCAACAGAAGAGGATGTGGCTGAAAGAATTGAACAGGTGCAAACTGAAGTACAGCAGACTGAGACATCGCAGACAACTGAGGAAAGAGAAATCTCAACAACTCAACAACATAACGTGCCAGAAACGGAAGGCCCGCTAATGGGGGGAGAACACCGAGTAACACCTCCTCCGACTGCCCCAGTTGCACAAAGACTTCTCCGTGCTAGGTCTCATCTAGCTCCCTTTTCATTCCCTCAGGTAGGTCTTGTACTTGTAGGGGTAAGTCATGTCACACTATACTATTTTTTGCCCCAGCAGGTCTTATCAATTCAGATTATTTTGGGTCATCGTTCATCGCCTTATAATACAATATCAAGGGTACCATCGTTTGTCTCTCGAAGTGGCCACTAACTGGCAGCTCGTATTCAACAGGAGACAAAATCGACTGAACATTTGTCCCCTGGTGTGGTCTGACGGCCAGTTGACCATGATTGTTGGACGTGTTCAAGTGAATTTACAATGAGGAAAACACCTTATAATCACTCGTTATTGCTATTTTAAGCTCATTACTAACGGATGAGCTTGGGCAACCTTGCACGTGGCCTCCACCAAAGCCATTGTTACAATGGAGTAGTCAGTGGAGCACTGACCCGATATTAGGGAGTTTACGCAACGATGTGAATTTGCGCTGCCTCAAACTTTATAGCGCTTACTCCATCTCGTTTAATTCGTCAAATGTTGGCAAATTTTTTTGGAGTTGAATTCTAAAGGACTGCATCAAAGTTCAGGAGAAGAAAGTTGTTGTCTTGTGTTCCCGTCCTCGACAAAACGTGAAATATAGCAGTTTCACCTTGTGGTCGTGCAACGACGGCAGAGATATGTCCAAAAAAGCGTGATGCGCGTGCAAAGTTGTTGTTTAGTTTATCTTAACCTATTGCTTTTTTGCCGCTCTCGTTGCCGTCGTCGTCGTCGTCGTTGTGTAAACTCCATATAATTACTAGAGCGAGGGAATAGAGGGAAAAAAACTTGAAAGCTGGCGGCACGTGAAGCTTAGTAGATGTAAAGAGAAGACCCTGGTCTGCCGCACTCAGCTGTGTCGGGGGTGGGGGGCGTCCGCTGACCGGCATTTTCCAGATTTAAACAGATAATCTTGCGTCAATTACTTCAGCCACCCACCTAGCTATACCACTATTAAGTGTTAATCCCCTCTTATCCTTGGATCCCTCTATTTTGTGTCTCAGGGTCAACCAGCGCCAGGTCCGTTTAATGATGAAGAGGACTGCATGGTACCTAGTACTCCTACTTTGTATGTTCCAAAGAGAACTGATGGATTTGCAGAGGCTATAAGGTAATGAAAAATGCAAAACGAGTACTGTGAGTATTTAAGTTTTTAAGGTATGAAAAGTCTTTTTTTGTAGTACGAACCCAGAAATGCGTAAGGGAGACCCTTGATAGGTTCCTTGAGAGAGAATTTTCAATGTTATGTCTTTCTTTTCTTTTCCTTTTTCCTTTTTTGTTTTTGGTACCCTCAGCTCTCCTCAGATTAATCTTCCAACCTTCTCATTTGGGGCACATGGCGAGGCGTCGATGTCAACTGCTGGAGGTCTGGAGCTGGGCATGTCTGAAGAAGGTCGGTCATAAGGTTTAAGGATACTTACATTTTCTCATAAAGTAGCTCGCATGCGATGATCAAAACAGTTTTAAAATACCAAAACCTACTACTCTGTCGCTTTGGTATTAGAAGAAAAAAATCGCCAAGTGATGAAAACAAAAAATATTACCTTTGGAGAAAATTATGGCTGAAAAAAGAAACTTTACTTAATATATTATACGAGAAGTACTTCGTTCTGCAAACAGTGAAGTGAGAAAAACGAGTCGCGGACCTGTTTTTGCAAACCATTTTCTAAGGATCTAAAATTCGGATGACACACTTGCACGTGTTTAAAATAGCGTCGATCGTAAACCTTAACGGGAACGTACAGTGAATGAAATTTGCAATATTTCTTCAGGCAGTTAACCGTGAATGATACAATTTCCTTGCAGGGCTCCGTGTGGATGACACCCAAGTGGACCTGATGGGGGGCTCAGATGAAGCATCCAATGAAAGGTCCTCATTTGTGGTTCCCACAGGTAGGGCATTAAGGAACCAAAAATCAAGAAAGGCCTGTAGGAGCTGCGAGGAAGACAGGAAGGCAGGAAAGTCTAAAGTTTTAAGGATTTTGAGGCAGAGAATAGGAAGGAAGAATCAGATAACTGTATTACTTAGTCCTACAAGGAGAAGGCGAGGTAGACGAAAAGGTAGATTAGATAGTTTTTGAGGTACTTATGAGAGTCATGCACAGTTTGGTACGTCCTTGGGAAGCAAATCTACAAGCAATTGTTTAAGGTTGTGTACTTCAATACAACGAGCTCTTTTGGTGAACATTCAGATGTCAGCACTTTTGAGTTACCACTCCGGAACCCCCTTTCCCTCTTTCGCTGGGATTTTCATTTCATTTTATCTATTTTTTTTTTTACATTATTGCGAGAATCCCGCGACTTTGTTCAGTGGGTGGGGGTGTAGACAGTACTGAAGTGAGGACGCACTTATCAAGACGAACAAGGCGTCGACTGCTTCGCGCGGCGCACAAGGTTGTAAAATGGTATACCCAGCAACTCTGTCATTAATTTTAGTAAGCAGTTTAAAATGTGGGGGGGAAAGGACACATGCCTGAAAAGAGTCTGGAATTCGCGAACTCGTGCTCGAAGCGGACGAAGCCAGTAACTCAGTATTACCATATTTACTCGATTAAACGCCGCAATAGTAAACATCTTTCTGTTTTACATGACATTTACAAATGATTTATCTTACTTGTTGTCGGATATGTAAGGAATGTAATTTTGAAAAAAAGGCCGCCCTTTAAAAAATGACTCATCGAAAATGCTTAAAATTCAACGAACGCCGCGACGTTTGATCGAATAAGTACGGTATGTTGTTGGTTGATTTCCCACAGGGTTACCAGAAACGTCGGAAGCTAACAGTCAACCCAACCAGCGTCTCCCAAGCACGAGCTCTGATACAAGGCAGCTGTCTTTAGAAAGCCTGGAAAGTGAACCAGAAGGGGGTAGCATCGCTACAGTGCCAGCAATCAGAATAACAGAGGTTTCCGAAGAATCCAATGAACAAAATGTGCCTGTCTCACAGGCTCATCCCGAGAGTCTTGAAACAGAAGTGGCGGAGTTGTTGGAAGAAACAGAGAAAGAAGACGAAGATGCTGGAGGCAGTCAAGAGGCAGAAGCTAAAGACAGGTACTGCAGGATGCTTGGTGCTTTACTTATGTCACGTATAGAGGATATGTCACAAGGATATTACTGTGCCAAAGGCATTGCTTAGTGCCTCTATCCATACGCCAAATGCTCCTGTAGAGTTATAAAGAGGATTTCATCAGCGAGCACGGACCATCATAATGTTTTTGGTAATAACATTAAAACTTGAAAAAGTTGGCGCAATTTTTCCAAGATTTAATCCATGTCCATCCTTGCCATCCGTTGCAACAAACGACTGGAAACATTTCAATGCCTAATTATAGTCTTGAATAACAAAACTGGACCATTATTTTGGAATTTAATTGATGCAGAAACAGGTTTTAGCTTTTTAAAATGATAGTAAATAGCGTGACATAGCCCCTGAAAGTTTCACATAAAACAGAAACTTTTATGCAGTGATCGTTATTGATAAGATTACCTCACCTTTTGATATAACATCTTTTGTTTTCCTTTTTCTTCGGTGCAACAAGTGAATGTGTCGAACCTGTCCAAGAGGATACTTCCCAGCCAGGAACCTCAGGTAAAAATACAACCATGTTATTTATTGATTTATTGATTTATTGATTTATTCATTTATTCATTTAATACAATAGTGAAGGTGAATTGTTAGAATGCTTAAAACTAAAATTCAAGAAAAAATCCCTGATCTTATTTTGTAAAATAATGAAAATCAAATAAAACGTTGGGAAAATACTGTGGAGAAGGTATCATTTAATGGTGACACGGTTGGTTTTGTTTCGTCCACAGTCGTCACATGGTATACCAAAGTATGGGCCAATATTTGCCAATCATTGATCTTCATTGTTTGTGTGTTTTTCTTTCAGGAGAGTCCTCTAGTTCAAGTACATCATCATCTAGTACAGGATCTCAACTTCCCTTAGGAGCAGGGGCCGCAGCAAAACCAAAACAAGGTAAATGCCTGGTTTAACGTATTATTTATTTATTTCATTTTATTTTATTTTATTTTATTTTGAAGTACCTTTCCTTGTGTTGCCTTTGCGACTATGACGACGAAGGAAGTTGAAGCAATAGGCCTTTTTCAAACATACCATAATACTCCTTGTTGTCCCTCCAAAATTTTTGCATAAGCATTGTTTTCAATTTCTCTTGGGGCGATTGTAAGTCCCAAGAGAAATTGAAAACAATGCTTATGCAAAATTTTGGAGGGACAGCAAAGAGTATTATAGTATTTTTGAAAAAGGCCTATTTATTGGAGCTATTAAGTGCCAATTTATTTCGAAGTTTGCGCGATTATTCCACCCCCATCAATGTGCCAGATGCGCGGGGCTTTTTTGCTCTGAATGGCCAGAGACCGCGTACGTGTTGAAGAACAGGAAGGAAAAATCGATTGTTGCGTGTTCGTTTTCATAAGCGTTTTATCAGGAAATGTAACATCACCCTACCCAAGTCGTCAAGAAAGAACCTGCTGAGTTGCTTTTTTTCTTTGTGTTCTTGTTTGTTGGTTGTTTGGTGTTAATTTTTCATTGCCTTTGTCGTCGTTGCGTAAGCTCTAATATATGGTTATTCCCTTGGTGAGTCTAGGAGTTGAGAATTAATTTACATAGTAGTGAAGACCTTATAGGGTGAATACAGCTTGTCACAATAATAATTGCGTTTGTGTACAGATCCTAACCGACCTAAGGCTACAGTGGTGCAGTTGAGAAGGCCTGGTGCATCAGCTACCTGGTCTCAAACAAGGGGGGGTCACCAAGTACAAAGAGGTATGTGTGAACAAAAAATTGACTGTGAAAACTGAAATGACTAGCACTTTGAATCTACAATGCTATACATAAAATTGGTTCTTTTGTTAAATCAAATGACTTCTACTTGGGATAAATTCTACACTCCAGAAATACTCGTCCCACCTGCCGAAAAAGGGTTACTCCTTTTTTAAAGAGAGACACTTCTGGCTTCTACATTGTTCCATGAACTCAACTTTTACCACCTTTTTAGGTTTGGCTTTGGTACAGAGGACAAAAAAACAGCTGTTTCTAAAGTCGCTATCAGAAAGGGTTTCTGGATATACCTAATTCAATAAAGGTTTCTTTGGCAATTGGTCATTGATCATTTTGGGTATACAGAACTCACTACAATGATTTGCTTGAGTGACCACCAAACAATAGCTTTTGAATCAGCTATATTCATTCAAAGCAAATTGTTTTTATTCCAAAGGTGCTCCTGCGTCTGGGAGAGTGCGTCGATTAAGAAGAGATCCTGTAAGAGGTAAAATGTTTGTCCTTTACAGTTCTCTCACTTTATCTAACCTTGCATAATATGGACTATCAGATTGCTAGTGCGGCAGACAGACCGCTCGGCCACGCTACCCCTTATAGTCTACCGCCTTTTCTCTCTTCCCTCTTCCCTATCAACCCAAAACCCATGACTGCCATGTTAACTCTTACATTGCTTATTGTGGAAAATTTCTCAAAGAAATTGAAGCTGACACCAGTTTGCTGGCTTGTGTCATAGGACCGTCAACTCGTGGGCGCGGGACACCCATATCCCGCGGGAGAGGAAACGGGACATCAAGAGGAGGGCAAACGTGAAGTAAACTCTGTCAATAATTTTGTAACCTAAGATTTTAATTTTAAAGTTTTTGTACATAATAAAGTAATAACTTCTCATATAGTTTCCTTTTTGTTGTTTCTAGGCAAGTCATTTACTAAAGCTAAGCATTAAATTCAAGTGAACTGTGTTTATGTTTGATTGTCTTTGAATACCAAGACCGCGTTAATCCGAACTTGTGTTCTTGGCTATAGGCTCTTCTACATTACTTGCTTTTTCTGTACGCACATCTGTCAGCAGACGCTTCTCTTAGTTTCCATACTCATTAGCGATTGATTCGGTGTTGCCTGTGATGTGTGTGGTAGAATGGCATTCATCCTGAGTTTTACCCGAAGATGTCGCGCTTTTAGGGGAATGGCATTCCTCTTGAGAAGTCTTTTGCAGTTTATCCCATCCTCTTACGTTGTTAGGAGAATTGCATTCCTCCTTTGGATCGCTGTTCGTATTATCATTACTCTTGGCTGACTCGACGGAACTGTATTCGGCGCTCTCATGGAATATTTTACCAATTGTGTTCAACCCGGATGAGCGTCCATCTATCTGTGTTCTTGCTGTAGTACCCGATCCGACTCTATTTGCTTTGTAATCACCTGAAGTAGGTGAGTCAGCTTCCTTTAAAGCGTAAACAATTGATTTTCCTGCCTTATTTCTCTCAGTGAGATTTGTTTCTTTACAGGCATAGAGTATGCTTTCTGGTACATTGTCGCTGGCTTGAAGAAAGTCTTGATTATAATACACACGTGGAGAGTTCAAAGCAACGCAATGCTCCAATGCTCTGTCAGTTATTTTACAAGCGTCACTGTTCGGCATCACCCCTATCTCGTCACTGTCATGTTTTCCCTTGGGCGATCCGCCTCTCTGTCGTGTTGCTGTAGTTTTTCCACTTTCTGAATTTTTTCCTTGGGTTTGTTCAACTCTAGTTTGCTTGAATATCAGAATGTCTTTGAAATATTCTTCTTTTTCTGCGCTTGGTTTACTTATCAACTGATCTTGAGTTTGGGGTGCACTTTTTGCTAAACTATCAAACACAGATTGTACTGTTGAGAAATGTAGAACAGGCAGATCAAGGACGAAGCTGTCCAATATGCTCACAACAATTCCATCTGCCAGGTCGCTACTGAACTTGTTCCAGTTTAGGTCGTCCGTCACAGGATCCACAATCTGATATTTCATAAAGTTGAAAAAAATGTCGTCAGTTCTTTTTGGTATTTTCTCCTTTTTGTTGGCAATGGGACGACCTTCAATCCAAGGGATTTCAACTGTTCGTTTGCTTTTTGTTTTGTTTGTTTGTTTTTTTTAATTCGTCTCGATGTAATAAACACAGACAGTTCTCGTGAGTTTGTGTCACCACTTGTTTAGATCTCGTAGCCCACGAGCACAGACACGTTTTTGACTGTCGTGTAATAGACCATTTCTGAGTTCCAAAAGTTCTCACTTTCAAAACGAGGCTAAGTGTAAAACGCACTTAGCCTCGCTTTAAAATAGAAATTAGGGCAACTCTGAAATTGGCCTGTTGTGGCGACAGCCGCTGGAAATACTTCTGTGTTCGCAGGCTTGTGTAGAAGTGATCCTTCCTGTGTACAAACCGCTGCTTTTCTTATTAAAAGCGACTACCTCCCTTCAGCTACCCTTATTAGAATTCTTTTTGTTGCTGCTTATACAGTTCGGCTCTTTCTACATAATTGGTCAGTTATACAATCATACCTCCGTGACTGATACGGCCCCCAAGGGGAAAGACCAAGTATCCGCACAGAGGTGGAAATTGTATGAAATATTATACCTTCTGGGTCAGGAGCGTTATTCGTAATTAAGAGAGGTGAGAATGTAATGAATCACACTTTCATCTTTTTTAACCGCAGTTCATTGATTCATTTCATTGTGTTCTCATTTCATCGCAACCATCGGGTATATCATAAACTTGACCAGCTCTCCAGTTGGCTTGAGTTGGATAGAGCGTTGAGTCCGGTCATCGCAGAGGTCAGGATTAGATTCCGTCTCCATATTTCAAAGTTTTTCTTCGCCCGGATAGGTTAGTCTTTAAACTATGAAGATCACATACACTCCCACGTAACAGAGAAGTGCTTGCATCATGGTGGTGTCAAGGAAAGGTTCGCCTGTGTTTTGAAAAAGTCTCGCTGTTAATTACGACAATTCCTATGATTACCTTTTGACGCACAGGGTAGGCATCCTTTTCATGCTTATCTGCTCCTTGGTTCCTCTTTGTTGACCACCCGTTTCCCTCCTCCAACACTTCCACAAGTATATTCTGTCCACGATTTGATTCCAAAGACTGTTTACCAACGCGGCCAGTAGTATCGTTATCACTTCTCTCTTCAATCTGCCATAAAACAGGCCTTTGTAATTGTTCAAGGCCCCTTTGCAGAGTAAAAGGAGAGAACATACCTGGAAAACCGTATGGGTATCCGTAACAGTATACCCCAGGGTGTGGCCATAGGTATGGCGAAGGGGGAGCTGCGTACTGCTGGCCCCAGTACTTCTCCCAGAGTCGCTGCTGAACCTCCTGACCAATCAGAGTGGTGTTTGTCAGACTATAGTGCGACAAGTGTGCCCCAGGGGGGAACCGTGGGGTATTGATGTTGTGTTGATAATGGCTCATCTATCCAGTAACTGGAAAAAGAGAGAAAGTTCAGAATGTTTTTAGGTTTAGTTAAGATAATATAATCCACTACCGGTTAACTCAATCGCTTTCCACTAAAATCGAACACGTTTTTTTTTTCTTGCTACCTATCCGCACAAGGCTCGAACAAAATATTTTTGGCTCTCCAAAAGTCACGACAAAATTTGCCCTGCGTTTTCCTGCGTGAGGGTTGACAAAAGCTTGGTAGTACTAAACATAACCGTCCGAACGTCTTTGCTTACAATCCAGTTTCGTCCATGGGTCATAAGATTACAGCCTGATCAGTCAAAATAAACTCTTTTTATTTTGAACTTTGGAACCAATTTCCGTCATTAATACCACAAGAAATTATGGAGAACAATGTGAAGACCATGTATACAACGGGAGTCTTAAGGGTTGGAAAAGTTTGCTCTAACGCAGGTAATTATCAGTAATATCAGCACTCTTACAGAGTCGCTAAATATCGAAGTAACCGACAAAAACTAAAAACAACAAAACAAAACGTAAAAGGATATTGATATTGGTATGATATTGGTATAATGTTTTTTCTGAGTTCTTAAAATTTGAATTGAAAATAAGTGACTTGTGATGTAGAAAGACGATCTGTTCGGCTATGGAGACTATTTCTTTATTAACTTCAGGTTAACAGCTCAAACTAAAAGAAAATAAACAAAGTTAACTAAATGACCTCTTAAGGCCTTTTAAAGATAACCGGAATGAAAACCGGAATAGCGTGGGCACATGAGCAAATACCGGAAAATCAAATACGTGCTGATCCATGCACATTTTTTGACATAAATAGTACCGAAAATAAGCATAAAAGTCATACGAGTGTATTTCGAGACATGCTGTGAGACTCACTTCAACACGGTGGCCCTTGCTTCGGTGGCAAGCTTTTTACTGCTGACATTGTGGTCGGTAAGTTGACTAAGTTTTATAATCGTTTATTACATTCATAAACCACTAAAAGGCGTATTCTGTTATGAAGAATGTACTCTCCGGATTGTATTCTACATTACTCCTCGGATAGTAACTCAGTGCCATTTACTATTGGGAAGCAAAGCCATTTTTAACTCCTTTTAATTAAGGCAATTGACTTAGGCTTCGTTTCAGGTCAATTCAATTTGCGTTACTCACGTAAATGCTGACAGAACTTGTAAACCGTAAGTACAGCTGAAAGTACATATTCGAGGAAATACGGTAGATCTACCAAATACGGTTGATCTACCAACCGTATACGGTTGGTAGATCTACCGTATTTCCTCGAATAATAGCCAGGGGCATAGGCTCCTGCCGGGGGCGATTATTTCTTTTTCCGTACAAAAAGGGGGCGATCATTAGAGGGAAGGCGATTAATCGAGAGACGGCTATTATTCGAGGTTGGTGGTGAAATGTTCATCGGTCTAACGGCATCTAGGCTGGTAACCCTCAGGTTTGACTCCGTTAAGAAACATGTCCCCCTTGTCACTGACTAAGTCAGTAAAACCGGGCCTGATTTGATTAATAATGCCTGGGAAATGCCCCAGCCGGGGGGGGGGGGTACTGCCATATATGGGATATATAGGTATGTGCCGTTGTGAAGGGTATGGTTTTCAAGCAGTTTCGTCTGGGACAGGGTGTAGAAATCAGAGAGTTTGGGTCCAGAATGGGGTGTCATTTTCAGGAAACTGATCAATTAATTGAAAAGGTTAGTCTAGACTAGGTAAATCGAGAATTAACACTCAAAATAAATTGAAATTGGCAAATCTAAATTTACAGGCAACTTACTTCACTGGCAAAGAAAGCGTCGACCTCACTAGGAGCTGGAAAATAGTGGCTCTAGGGAAGGAGAGATTTAGTCTACTTGAGGGTAGCAAAATTCAGCCGAACTGTAGGTCTGGTATAGGCTGTGTTCCAGGGGGCAGGGGGATGGTTGTTTGAGGCAAAGTAAACCACTTCCAAGAGAGGTCACGTCTTTGTCCCAAACCCTTGCCACAGATCAGTCGTAAAACTCGGCGGAAATTACTGGCTTTCAAGGAAAACTGTAGTTTCCTGGTGTTGCGGATGGGTGCGAACACCAAAGGAAATGATACAATTTTACCCACACGTACCACAAAACAAAAGCAAACCAATAATGGTTTCCGCAACACCGAGAAACACCCAGAGGATCTCTGTAATATTGTGATAAGTGAAAAGATCCAGTATCATTAAGTCCCCATGTTATTGGCCGTCTAGTAATTAAGCTGCGAGGGTGTGACTATCCTTCCGTCTTTTGCCGGAGGTTAATATGTTTCACTGTATTAATATAACGCGTGTTGAAGTCGTAAGAAACAACTGAAAGAGCACAAAGAGTTTGGGAGTCTGCAATCTTATTGAACACAATTTATAGACTCTAGGACTTGAATGGAGAAAAAAACACGGTGTATTTAATACGCACTCTTGCCACATATTAGGGACTTTAGGCAAGTACTACGGAAGGGTCTGGTACGGTGACCGGAAGTAATTTTTGTCCTTCTACCCGTCGATGCCTCGAGCCGGGTAGCCTCCCACGCAGACGTTCTTAGGGGTTCGTCACGCGTTCCTGCCCCACGTGGGGAGTTTAAGACACTAAGACAGCCACGGCGGTAAAATGGTCTTAAAAGCGAATTCGCGTTCTTTCTCGACTTTTAGGCAAGTCTAAAATTACGTCTGCGACGCAGGCTAAGGTTTTGCTTGTTTTTTCTTTTCTTTTTTTTCAGGTGATTCCAAGCCGCCGTAGTACAACAAGTATGGCCCTGTCAAACGCCGAATACACCAACGAACAGCTGAACTACTTCAGAGTTTGCTATGTAACTTCCGATATAATAGTCGCGAGTCTTAGAGAAATTTTTAAACAAGAATGGGATAACCAGTACAGATCAACCAAAGGTGAATGGAAAGATGAGCCTCAGAATGGAATAGTCTTTTACAATGGGGAGTCTCCACCAAACCAGAGAAGAAATGCTCGTCTCTTGTCCACCATGAAAAAAGGCAACCGAAAGGAATGGGACTGTACAATGCTGTTCTACGCCATCCTTTTCTCCGATTCTGTCGGACGGGGCCTTGGCGCAACAGTCAGAAACAGTGTGGACGATCTCAGGACTTTTAGGAACGAAGTGTTTGGTCACATACGACAAGGCAGCCTCTCTGAGGTCGATTTTCAGAATGCCATTAGCAAAGTTGAATGTGCTTTTCAAGTGCTTGGTCTCCCTATTGTAAAAATTCAAAACGTGAGACATCAGAAAACTTTTCCAACGGAGGAGTTGCAGCAAATCCTTAAGAAAGTTAAAGAAAAAGAAGATCAGCGCCAGGTCCTTGAAGACCAGCTCCAGAGAGAAGCACCTTCATTCTGTATTCTCCCTCCTAAACCCTCCCACGATATCGAAGGACGAGATCGCGAGGTGGCGAAAATAGAGCAACAGCTGAAAGAGCTAAAAGAGTCCAGTGACAATAGGCTGAGTTATCTATACATCTCAGGGAATCCAGGAAGTGGAAAATCACAGCTGGCTGGCCTCGTGGCAAAGAGATTCTTTCACGAAGCCAGAGAAATGTCAGGGGCTTGTCCATTCGTGATGACCTTAAACGCCGCAAGTCCAGATTCCCTTTTGGAGTCATATGCTTCCTTTGCTCGCCAAGTAAAGTGCCCGGACTATTCAGTTATACAAACTCTTAGCTCCAAAGATGGGAAAATCAAGGACAAGATCGCACATCTCAAGATGCTTATTTCTGCAAAAACTAACTGTTATACGTCCTGGCTACTTGTGGTTGACAATGTCTCTACGTTGTCCTCTATGCAAGTCTTCTTACCAGAGTCTGGAAACGAGGCGTGGGCAAGAGGTCAGTTATTGATTACAACCCAGGATACAGCGTCAATTCCCTTAGAGAGTTCTTCCATCAAACACATCTCAGTAAGCAGAGGTATGGAGCCTGATGATGCCAGTTCCTTATTGGCTAGGATTTCTGGACTCACCGACAGCGAGCTAGCAGGAAAAGTAGCCAAAAGACTCGACTATCAACCTCTTGCTCTAGCAGGCGCTGCCGTTTTCGTTAAGGAGATATGGCAGGACGAAGCCTCTAGACATTTTGGCTGGAACGAATACCTGAAGATTTTAGAAAAAGGCAAACGAGAAACGACGGAGGATACACTTGCTAATACCAATCCAGTTTACCCAAACACTATGACCAAAGCAATAACATTAGCCGTAGAAAAGCTTATTAGTTCCGACAAATTTGTCAAACACCTTTTCACTTTACTTTCCGTTTGTGCGCCGCAGCCATTAAACGTGGAAATAGCAGTCAGTTACATCATGAATGTAGACGGAAATTTTGATGAAGTGGACAAGAACCGTATTCGAATGAGCCTCAGAAGGTGTTCACTTTTGCTGTTTGAAGGGAATTTCATTCGCGTACATGAGATTGTGCACGCAGCTATCAAAACTCTAATAAAAGGTCATGAAGAAAGTCAAGGCCTCGTCGAGGCCGTCAATGCGGCTGTTACATCATTCAACAAGTTTATACTTGATATCTCACCAGAGAATAGAACATTGGAAACCATACACATTGTTCAGCATTTGAGAGCTTTAATTATGGTCATTGACAGTTTGTCTTTCAAGGAGAGTTTGTCTAAAGTTCACGATGTCAGTATGTTAGAAAAATTTAAAAACCTTGGAGAAGTTTGTAACGCACATTTTGAATTCAACGCGGCAAAAACATACTTTGAACACGCACTTACGATTGAGCTAAGACAGCTCGGCCCCGAACATGTTGATGTTGCAACGACCTACAGCTATTTGGCGTCAACTCACCAAGGCTTGGGGGACTTTGAGCAAGCCAAAGAATATCAGCAAAGTGCGCTTACTATACAGCTTAAGAAACTTGGCGCTGAACATGTCCATGTAGCAGCGAGCTACAATAACTTAGCTTTAATTAACCGGGTCTTGGGTGACCTTGAGCAAGCCAAGGAGTATGGGCAACGAGCTCTTGCTATTGACCTCGAGGAACTTGGCGCGGACCATGTTCGAGTCGCCATGAGCTACAGTACCTTAGCTTCGATTCACGAGGACTTGGGTGATCTTGAAGAAGCCAAGGAGTATGGCGAACGTGCGTTAACTATTCAGCTCGATAAACTTGGGGCGGAACATGTTGACGTTGCAACGAGCTACAGTACCTTAGCTTCGATTCACCGAAACTTAGCTGACTTCGAGAAAGCCAAGGTGTGTGGACAACGTGCACTTGATATCCAGCTCGATAAACTTGGCGCGGAACATGGTGATGTAGCCACAAGCTACAATAACTTAGCTTTAATCCTCATGCACTTGGGTGACCTGGAGCAAGCCAAGGAGTATCAGAAACTTGCTGTAACTATTGAACTCAAGAAACTTGGAGAGGAACATGTCTATGTAGCAACTACCTACAGTAACCTAGCTTTAATTCTTAGGGACCTTGGTGAGCTTGAACAGGCCAAGGAGTTTGGGCAACGTGCTCTAGAAATTCAACTGGGGCAGCTTGGCACGGAACAAATTAATATTGCAAGCAGCTACAATACTTTAGCCACAATTCATCGGAACTTAGGTGAACTGGATCAAGCCCGGGAATATGGGCAGCGTGCCCTTGCTATTCAGCTCCAAAAACTTGGTCCGGGCCATGTTTATGTTGCAGAGACCTACAGTTACTTGGCTTCAATTCACCAGGACCTGGGTGAACTTGAACAAGCTAAGGAATATGGGCAGCTTGCTCTTGCTATTCAGCTAGAGAAGCGAGGCACGGATCATGTTTATGTTGCCGCCATCTACAGTCGATTAGCGTCTATTCACCAGGACTTAGGAGACCTTGAACAAGCCAAGAGATATTGGCAATGTGCTCTAACTATTACGCTCGAGAAACGTGGTGCGGAACACGTGGATGTTGCAACGAGCTACACTAACTTAGCATTGATTCACAAAGACTTAGGTGAACTTGAGAAAGCCAAAGAGTATCAGAAACGTGCCCTGACTATTCTTCTTGAGAAACTTGGCGAGGAACATGTTGACGTGGCAGCTGGCTTCAATGACTTTGCTTTAATTCTAAAGGACTTAGGTGATCTTGAGGGAGCAAAGGAGTATGGGCAACGCGCTTTAACTATTCGTGTTAAGGAGCTTGGCACCGAACATCTTGATGTTGCCATGAACTACAATGACTTAGCTTTAATTCACAAGGACTTAGGTAATCTTGAGCAAGCCAAGGAATATGTCCAACGTGCTGTTACAATTCAACTAGACAAACTTGGCGCGAATCATGTTCATGTTGCATCGAGTTACTTAATCTTAGCTTCAATACATATGGACTTAGGTGATCCTGAGCAAGGAAAAGAATATGAGCAGCGTGCTCATGCTATTCAGCCTGAGGATATCGGTGTGGAACTCGTTGATGTTGCAACAAGCTACGAAGAAGAAACTTGGTGCGGAAGATGTTCATGTTGTGTATGTTAAACAAGACGCTGCTGCAAGGTATACTTGGCGCATGTAACGCACAAGGCGGGAATGAACTTTTCAAAAAAAAAAAAGACTTTATCATAAACTTGAAGAAAAAGTAAACCAACAAAACGCAAGTAACCTGAAATATGTGCGCTCAGCGTGTATACCTACTTTTAAAACGCCGATAATTTGAGAGTAAACAAGAATAAACAGTACGTAACTTGTTTTCCATAAATGTCATCATTCGATCGTAGTTTGAGTACAATTTTGGTCTAGCACATGCAACCTTATTTTCGATTATTTTTTCAGATTAACACTCACAAAAGATGTAGTTACAAAGTTTCATACTCTTGTATCCTGTAGGTGCTTGCCGAATACGGAAGAAACCGTCTAACTCGTCAAGTAATTTTATTGCACTTTTTTTATTTGGGAGGGGGGGATGGTGAAATAGGCGGGGGTTAGTTAGTAACTTATTTCTGTTTCCCTTTAAAAAAAAGCTCTTCTGACGGTTGAGGCTGTAAGAGGTCTAAGATAGTTAGGTGCTCAATCAGCGGATTTTATTAACACTATGCGAGGGCATGAACCCAACCTTTCCATGCCTATGTGAGATGTTTTTTCTAAGTACCAATGTTCCCTTGAATTTTGTCACGCCTAAATGGATAAAATTTTGCCTCTCTCATTAATCCTCAGAGTGGACGCGATTTTTACGCTCGCTAGGCATGTTCAATTGAAAGTCATGCCCATAGCCTCATTCAAAACACTTCAATTGCAGAAGAAGTAAACATCGTAAATGACTCCATTACGTGTTAAGCCAGTAAGGTGTTCAAAAGAGGGTTATAGAATGCCGATTTATTGAATAAATCAATAGTCATTGAAAAATGTAATTTTTCCTTGAAAAGTCCTTGAAATTTATTTGTCTGAAGTTGTACGAACCATGGGCTTAATTGGTTCTAATATATTATAGTTCAGTTCTTTACTGGCCTCATTTCAGCCTAGAGCTTTGTAATCTGCGGAGTCTTATGGGGCTGTTAACTGTAGCTTAAACCGTAGTTTAACCAGCACAGTTGACCAAAAGTCTACAAATCACAAGATTATTATCTGGGCAATACCCTCTCAGAATGAATAAAAAAGGTTAGCAAATAAAGGAAAAGATCGAAAAAGAAGACTTGCCAATGATAATATTTGCGACGTCCGTTAGCCACTATTAGGGGTTTCCGGTGCGGTTCATTTTTCCGAAGTACACTAGCTACAATACATAATTCAAATCGGACTTAAGCAATAACAAGCCAAAATTTCGGTTTACAAGATCGATTTTGACTTGACGTTCATAACTTACCTTTCGAAAAGTATTCCTCACCAAAAAGATCCTATTTCCAATGGACAAACCGACAATTAATCAATGCCAAAACTTTTTTTCCGTTGCAAGTGCGATGATTAGTTCGAAGAGTTAACGCGATTTTCAAAACAAAACACGTGGCCAGCGCGTGCTAGAAATCGCACGCGCATGCATTTGTTGCAAGAGATAAAATCCCAGTTATAAGCCCCGCCCGTTTGAAGCCCCATCTATTTTCAAACAAAAGTTTTATGAATTGAAATATGTGAAATGAATCATATCGTGAACTGCGGATTAAGATATGAAAGTGAACATGCTCATCCAGTAAAATGAACAACTTAAATGGTTGAAATGTAGATCACGTGGTTCCGCTTACACCCCCAGGGCCCCACCGCACAAAATCGGTTATAGGCCTATCTAAGAAAAGAGGGATTAAAATCAAAAAGCAAAAACATTAAAAGCGGATTTTTTAAAGTAGCTACCGAAAACCGCAGCTATTTGGCGTAAATAGGGTCAAAACGCGAGCCCGAAAATTCTACCACAAAAGGAAAGGGCATAATTCTTAATAAAGAATTTGGGAATGTTGGTTTGAGGAGAAGGGGAACAAGAATGCCCACAGATACATCTCGCAATACAGCAGAAAAAAAACAGCAGACTGATTATGATGACATCATAGAACAAGCCAGAGAAAACTCAATACTTATCGTTTTAATTACAAAATATAACATCGCGTTTGAAATACTTATTAAATTTGATATTATTTACAAACAAGCCAAAATATATTTCAACAACCCAGAAACAATTTTAAGCCCATTTTCCCCAGGAAAAACGGATAGAAAAGTGAGGAATAAAGGTGTGTGAAATCTATAATAAAGACAAGGGATAAATTTCAAAATAGTGAAGGAAAAAGAGGAGCTTCGTTAGATTAAAACAACGATGAAAAGTCTGACAATTCAGCATTTTTCACAATTGGAAAATTTCAGGAGACCAAGTAGGACTAAGGAATGCATAGTTTGATGAAAAGTGGAATCTGCATTCTTGAATCCAAGGATTCTACGCTTCTTCAAAAAAATTTAAAAAGCAGACTTAAATTACACTCCACGTGAATTCCTTTGACTAAAGCTATATCAGAATTTTTACGATGTAATGAATCCCCTTGTAATAAATTTCGCACTAAAGCACTTTTCAATAACAACCTGAACTTTGAAGTTCAAAATTTTACCAGAAGTTAATTTTTTCAAAACCGAATTCACCGCCTTGAGCAAAAAACCACTGTGGATTTCATCCCATTTCATCTGCTTCTGTTTTCAGGGTCCAACCTTTTTAAATGTAAACTTAAACTAGTCTTTGAACTTGTAAATACACCTCTCTCTTGAATAGCTTCAGATATATGTATACTTTATACAGTTATTATAAATTATACCAAATACGAATGTACTACTTTTAACAAATACATGGCACTCTGAATCACTGATATAATCATAATCAGTAATGTAAATCTCTTCAAGTTAAAATTGTAACATACATGCACAGTACGCTTACGCGACCTCGTACTTAATTCAAAAGTGTGCTGCTGTACACCATTGGGTGCTTAGTAAATCCTTTAAGAGTTTATCTGGCTGCCTTTTAGACTTCCGTCAGGAGAAAGACTAATTGGCCATTATGTTCCAGTCAATTCCAAAAGCACCCATACCCCAAATGCTTATCATAGAGGGCTCTGTTTAACGTCAAATCCCCACCTCTTCTTATGGAGATGACCTTGCACCAATTCCCGGGCAAAAACGGGGTGATCAGAGTGCTCTTAAAATTGATTGATACATTAAGAGCCTGTCAAGGGAATGGACAAAAACAGGTAGCCAAAGCGTAAGCCATGAGAAAGCAAGGATTTTTTTGGTACAGTTAAGAACCCATGAGGCCCTTATAAGCAAGAACATACTTGGGCTACATGAATTTAGTTCTCACGGGCTGACATATAACCTCCTTTAATTTTAATCAAGAGTCTGCCCTGACTTACACTGTGCTTGTAAAATCCCCTGCTTTCTCTTATAGCATTAGCTTGGGCTACCTGTGCTCGACGACTCAGTGAAATGTTAAATAAGGTGAATAGTTATTCTGTCTCCAGTCGCTTGGCATGTGGCATTACTTCCCACTGAGGTACGTGCAGATCAAACTCAAGAGCAACTACAGCTTGAAATTCAAACTTTAGAAGTTCCTTCACTGATATACGAAGTCTGTCCTCTATTGCCTGTAACAGACAAATAAACAACTTGTTCAAAGTTAACAGTACAAATGATTGAAAACCTTAATGGTTCACCGTATCTGACTGATAGAGTTGTAAAACAAAACTTTAACAATGGAAGGACATTTGGAGAGACTGTTTCGCTTGTCTAGGTTGCAATAAAGGGAAGCACTCAAGACTCGACTATCCGATAATTTCTTCCCCTCGATGGTTGGGTGTTTGAACAAACAGAGAAAAAAACTATTAAAGTGGTTGACCTTTTCAAACATTAAATCATACTAATGTACAAACGTAAGCATTGGTGGCTACTGTAAATAGAATTGCAGAATAAAGAATTAAATATACACAAGATCATTACAGTTGTAGATGCAACTTCTGCAGTTGCAAGAAGAAAGCCTGAAACAATTCAGGCCAAACAACCCAACATACACTGTATATTAATCACAGCATATCCACGAGTCATTTGGATTTACCTCAATAACTTCCCTGACTTTATCACGTTTCATATCATCATTAAATTTTGCCGCTAATAACAAACAAGACCCTGAAAAATGTTGAAAACACAAGAATCAGTACCATGAAAACTTAACAAGGATGCCACTTAAATCAATATCTATCAATATTTACTTACTTATTTATTTATTATTATTTAAATCTTTAATACTTGATTTTTCTCGTTATAATTACAACCGCACCTTTTTCATATTTCTTTGCTGTGTAACAGGGCTCGAATATAAAAAAATCTTCAGGTTGCCTTTTGGCTACCAACTGGAGAAATATAGTTGCCAGATGCAAATTTTTAGTTGCCAGTTTGTATAACGTAAATGACGCAGCTTATAGATAGTATGGCTCAATCCATCAGATTTGAAAATGTCATGGATAGAAGTCAGTACAAATTTGGAGGTAAACTGGCTTTGTTTACGCAATTTGGCACATTTTTTTATGATAAAAGCAAAGCAAGATAAGATAAAATGTTTGTTTTAACTTTACTCCTTTAATTTAAATCTAAATCATACAGAAATCTGGTCACCACTTTGGCCACTAAACCAGAATTTTTAGTCGCTAAGGAGAAAATGTTAGTCGCATTGGCCACCATATCAGTCGCAATTTTGAGTCCTGTGTAAAATACAAAAAATACCCTTCAGGGCTGCATTGGACCAAGGGCAGCAAGGACAAATCCATGTAAGGGCTCTTTTCAAAAGTCAGAACTGGCCGGCCGGACCAGACATTTTGGCAATGAAATGGGCTTTTTCCAAGAGGTTTTACTGAAAACCCGTCTCCTTTGTACATAATTATTTAGCATTTGACTGATCTGGATGGGTAGTTTTGATTAAAATTAGGAATTCCTATTATGATGGGAATGGGCTGGCCAGTCAGTTCTGACAAATGGAAAGCGCCCTAGGATACCACAACAAGTTGTATACCTGATTTTACATTAAACCAGTGTTAGAACAACTGAACTTTGGACAATTTGGTTTAGAGCGCATAATTATTTAGGACACAGAGAGTTCACAGCATAAAATCTGACAATCCTACCTGCCAGCAGTTTTCTGTTTGCTTTACTAATTTTTTCCTAAACAACAACAACAAAAAAGGATTATCAGAAGCTAAAGCAAATCATGCAAAGGATATATGGAACACTAAATTATGCCCAGAAATGCACATTACTTGCCAGGACCATGGGTAGGTACTTACATATTACAAATTAGAAATGTTAAAACATTTCTAATTTTAATAAGACTTCATGCATCAATTTCATTTAGGTGATGATTAGAACTAGGGGCCACAAAATGTGATGTCTACATAAGCAGCATGAGTCTCATATTGTGCATTTCTGGACATAACTTGGAGAGAAGGAAGGAGGAAGGAAGGAAGCACAGCTGATTGGTCAAAGCACTGATCTCACGATCCAGAGGTTCTCGTTTAGAGTTCCAACCAGACCACCAGGCTGGATTGTTTCTAGATTGTTCCCAGTTAAAATTCTCTCAGCCATGCTTGTAAGTAGCCAGCTGTATCACCTCCTACCAGATGGAATTCCGAAAATCATTTTTCAGATTGCTTCATCCCACTAGTCTTTATGCTTAATCTCGTACCCAGATCTCTTGTTGACAAAACTTTGTCAACAAAAGATCTGGGTATGAGATTATTTTATGCTTTATTAACGGTAAGAAAATAGAATACCTCTGGCACAGTATTCAAATTCACATGAATAACATACTACAATACTAGGATCCTTTACTTTACCTTAAGAATTAGTTTTTCAAAATAGACATATGCATAAGCCACAGTTGTCAAATCCAGTTGACATTCCTGAAAAAGAACAATAAGACACTGCCTAGCTGAAGAAAAATTGTATATTATTTCTTACTTTGCAAAGAACAATATTGCAAGTCCACCATTACTATCAATAATAATAATAATAGTTGTTTCATCCCATTACACATCCCAAGTTGGAATTATGATGTTCAATGAAGCACAATGCTACCAGTGTTGTGTGTGAACATGGATCTAATTAACTTGGAAGAGCACCACTGCACTTATTTGAGGGTGGTGCCTATTTAGGAGTAGCACTTCATTTAAATGTCTAATCACAGGTATTTTATAAGAAAACATTGATGTAGCAAGTAAATTTTGACTAACCTGCGTCATCGCTATTTTCAAAATATCTTTCTTTAGGCTAAAAACAAGAGTAAAAAGGAAAAGAAGCACGTCAAAAATAAAACGCCCTATTGTTATGTAAAACAATGTATCTCACTGGAAATATTAATATTATGATTAATATTCTTTCAAAAGACATTTTCAGCTCAATCACATTATTTTAACTTTCAGGTTAAAAAGGGTACATGTGCTGTCTGCAGGCCCACACTGTCGCAGCCCATCCCAGCTTCAGTAGCTACTCCCTCCTTAAACAGGTTTTTGAGGGCATGAAGAAAAAATGAGCATAGCTAACAGTGTAAATACACTCCACCCCCAATAGATGAGTGGGTATTATCTCTCACTTATTTCTGGAAGGCCAGATGTATGAATTCACAGTTTCTTGCACATTTTCTAGACAAACAAGATCAATACCTTATTTGTCCTTGCCTTAAATGTCAAAAGCAGGAGAACTCTATTACAATTATATTAAAGAATTTGTTAATTATTAATAACTTACAACACACAAGTTAATCTACCTTCTTAGTTTTGTAAGAGTGATGTTGAGGTTTGGGAACTTTTCTTTGAATTGTTCATTCAAGTCTTTTTTCAGCTCTGAGGGCCTTGCATAGGCTACCACCGATACCTAAAAAATATCCATAATGCATTAAAATTATTACACCTACAAACATTATCCAAAATATTTCACACAGACAACACTCCTGTCCATATCTATTTAATCACTAATGCTTAAGAGATCTGAGTTTTGATGAGAGGTGCAAGCTTATAAATGTACAATACCACGGCTCAAGGCAAACAATGTGTAAAGAATTGAATTGCATGAATTTGATTTAAAATTACAAGGTCTATTTATTATTTTAACTTTGGTAGTTTCTCTGAGTATCACATGTACTTACCAAGTAGGACGCAAGGTTGAGAACTTTCCGGTGGCGGCCTGATGTTAATTCAGGGTCATCCAGTAGATGAGGATCATAGCCACTGGGTGAGGAAAACCCAGCATCGGGACTGTCTTTTATATCACAAAACAGAACAACATTAATAATAATTTTCTGCAATGTTAGGGGTGGCGAATGGTAACATCCGAGACTAGCCAAGACGCCGAGATCCTAGTTAGAAATTCGAGCCCGGGACTCTTTGGTAAAGAGTTTCGAGACTCAAAAAAAGTAAAAACAAACCATGCAAGATCCTGCCAAAATTTTCCGAGACCCACGTTTTTCGAGGTACCATTCGCCACCCCTAATGTTATGATCATAACAAAAATAAAAATGACAATGATATAAATGATGATGTTATAACAGTAATCTCTGCGTGTAAACTTACACAGGAAACCATCGTTTCTGGTGGTTCAAAACTTTGTTTATTAACGGCACAATGTACCCAGGAAATTAAACAATACATAAGTTCTACCTAGAGAAATCCCTCCTGGATCCACCTGTATGGAGAGAGGTGTAACTGTCCCTTGACCTTCATTCCATCCAAAAGGGTATGTTGAAATGAGCAATGATCTGTATGACACTGTCTATGAGGAATCAAAATATATCTGATAAGCATAAACGTTGCTTGCAAAGAATACTGAAATTATTACTAGCATGTAAAAGCTATAGTTATGAAATAATTCAACAACACCTTCTCAGCCGATCCAAGTTCCACCCCTTCTATGCCAACAACCTGGTTAGGTGTAGCTACAGATGTTTTTTTAACACTGCAAAAAGCAACAATAATTCTAACATAAAATAATTATTGTCATACACATCAAAATTTAATATTAGTTTAATAAAATGGTAAAAATATTTAAGACATGTCAGCTCTGCACGTTGCGACTTGTAAAGAGCTTGCGAGTTTTGCAAGATGACTTTTCTAGAAATTATGTTGTAATTTTTGTTCCTTCAGCAGTCAAAGCTAGAAGATATATCATAAAAAACGCCTAATCATGTTACCATTTCTGAAGTTAAACTTGCACTGCAGTAGCACTATACACTGCTGGAAGTACTGAAAAATCAGTAACTATCAGTTTTTAACAATGAAAATTGAATATTGCAATCGACCCTGATAACTCGAACCCTCGCTGAGTCGAACTGTTTTTCTTTTTGAATTACCGTGGTTCTACTGTAAATAAATCACAGTTGAGACACTATAAGATGAGTGTGGAGGCTAAGGCAGTATGTGCTTTCAATTAAGTTGGCTAAATTTTGATCTTGGCACGAATAATTTTTTTTTGTTTTTTATTAAATAAATGATGTGAGATAAATAACTTTACACAAAAGATAAAATTGAACCACAGCGTTTACAAGCTTACAGACTAAGGGGAGTGATCCAAGGATAAAGGTCAAGGTCTCCTCCTCACTTCCACAAGAAATGCACATATCACTACTTATACATTTCCTATAAATAAATACAATTTGTTTATCCCCGACTTTCTCTTGGGATGACTGTAATACACAGGACAAATAATGCTTATGCAAAATTTTGGGGAGACGGGTGTATTATGGGCAATGTGATAGTGGAGAATAGAAAATAGCGAGGAAAAAGTATATGCTCGTATTATAGTTAAAGCAACAACTAGAAATCCATGATTGATGAAGATGAAATTACCTCATTCCTTCCTGACCAGCTTCTTGGTTTTCTTTGTGGTACTTTAGAACTGAGTATGTAACCAATGGGGCCTTATGACTTGAACACAACACTATTCTAAAAAGGATAATTACACAGAATTCCAATAATTAGATTCATTTAATGAAAGGCACATCAGGGCCATCAGGGCCGGGCCAGGTTTTCACCAGGCCACTATGAGCATGACTCTTCGTAACTTTGATCGGAACCAAAAAAAAAAAAGAACATAAAAAAACTTCCTAGCTCTTCAGTTTTCAACCTGCTAATTGCATAAAATTATACCCAGCAACTTGAAATCTTGTGATAGCCTTGTAGATAATTCATCTGCCAATGTACCCTGGTAGAGCCTCCTCTTGTCTTCTTGAATCACGTCAAACCTTTGAGGTTGCCGCAGCCCAAACTTCTGAACTGGTCAATCTACTTCTCTCTCGTCAAACTGGTATTTTTGAGTGCAAACATCCATTTATTGATAAACCAATGGTCATAACGAGCCCACTGTAGCAAGCGCATGGCTATTAGGTCTGGGTTTGAAACTGTATCCTTGCTCAACATGCCACGTATGCTCAACAAAGATCTTAACTCAATTCATGCAGAGTCTCTCTTGAGTACAGTAAAACCCCACATACAAGAACCTGGATTTTTAAATTTAGCCTTGACAGGTTCTTGTATAAATGGTACTTAAAGCAAATTTAAACTACCAACGTTCTTAAGATAGGTTCTTATATTTTCATATGAATTTCATTTAAGTATATTATAAATATCATCTCATAGTACGATATAAATAATTAATCCCATAATGCCTAAAGGCAGTACAGTGCAGGTATGTCCTTAACAAAACATAACAAACAAACTCATGGTCAGTTCTCTGAAATGCCATTTCAAAGTTGATACACTTTTACAGCAACTCTACTGATAAGAACCTAACTTAAAATTTTAGCCTTAATAGGTTCTTATGTGGAGGGTGCTTAAAATGAAAATTTTAGCCTAACAGGTTCTTAAAACCCAGGTTCTTATGCGTGGGGGTTTTACTGTATGTCCAAACCGAGCACACAAAAGAAAGGCTCTACTGGCAGAGTGCTACTAATGTTGCGTCACTTGCTGTTAAGGAAGCCAGGTAAATGGAAAGAGGTAACATGTTTTATGCCTTCCATCTTCACTCTCAAGGATTTTTCTAATCAATTATACCAATTGTCGGTTAAATCTGTTCTAAGGTTACATTAGTATTCAACCTTGGTTACCAGGTAAAGAAACCCAGTAAAAAGCTAAAATACTGGTTTAACCTGAGAACAGATTTTACCTTGTAAAATAACAAATTCCCTTTTAAAAAAATAAAATTAACAATTTAATAAAAAGAGGTACTTCTTCATAATTTACTTCACTTCTTTTAATTTGTGTAACACCACAATATTTAACCCATTAAGTGCCAAGAGTGACCAACATCAACTTTCTCCTAACAATATCCAAACATTGTCAAGAGATAAAGTTATGAGAATTAATAAAATGATCACCAAAGACAAAATGCTATGATCTTTTATCAAATTTTCTGTATAGTGATCAGTTTGGAGAATTTGCATGTGGATATTGGGGCTTAAAGGGTTAATGAGACCATTATATTGTCTCGCTTCTCCAGATATTATGTATTAACTTCCTTGCATTATTGTAATTGTCTGGTGTACATGGAACTAATTTCCTTAAAAACATAAAATAAATAATTTAATAACAAGAGGTATTTCCTAATTAACTTTTAATTTTTGTGACACCGCAAGATCTTAATGAAACCATACTGTAATCTAGCTCTCCTAGTCGCTCTCCTATTCAAAGTTTTCAAGATATATATTAACTTCCCCTAGGTTAAATTACCTCTTGTCAGTGGCCCGTCTCTTATGGTGAAAAGAAGAACCAGTCAAACACGAAATCCTATGTTTGTAACTCCGCTGAATACCTCCACTGTTAGTAGAGGCCGAATCAGTTGAGTCGGACACAGAAACACTTCTTCGAATAACGACATTTCGTTCTTGTAGCCTCCCTTCAAAAACAGCCTCTGTGACACTACGTTGTCTGTGGTAGGCCTTAACGTTTGAGTTTTTTGCTCCGTTGTTGGTTCCGTGATCTTCAAGAGCACTAGGTTCAGATATTGAATGCAGCAATGGCCTTCTTGACGATAACAAATCGGGGTTTCGTTCTTCATTTCCACGGCTTCTGTTCGAAGCATTCTTCTTTGCATTCACCTCAGTAGCCGGACCTCTTGCAACATTTCCATCGAGTGATATGCTGGAAAGGAAAGCACAAGCAGAAGCTACTCGCTTGGACCTTCTTCTGTTCGGACGGCCAGCTGTCACAGCCGCCATCTTGGCGGTTGTGGACAAATTAACCCACACTACACCCTTGGAATCTCTAGTACAATTCTTACCGAGCCCTCCCAACTCGGGATGAGGTATAATATTGTCTTGATGCGCCCGCGATTCTCACGCTGTTAGCGAGGCCAAGTGCGAAGCTTGATGAGAAAATGCCTTTTTTTTCCACTCATGCAAATAAAACTCATTTTCACAAGAAAGGTTTTGCCTAGCCTCGTTTTGAAAGTGAGAGTTTTTAAAACAAAAAACAAAGAAAAGAAAAAAGGAGGGAAAAGGAGGCTGATTTAAAAAAAGGGAAAATTTTCGTTGTATTTTAACTTGGTGTTTAAAGACACCAAGTTTAGACAGGAGCCTCGCTGCTTATCTTCTTTTTCATGACTTTTTTTCTCATGGACGGCAGAGCCTCACTTTGTTCACATTCGGAAACTCACTATGTTACTGAATGTGCAACACGTTCCAAAACCAGGAGCCGATTAGTAATCATGTAGTAATCGGCTCCTGCCAAAACTCATTGTAACTTTTAGTAGTTTGGAAGAGTAGGGACAGGTTATTATGTCAATCCCAACAATGAGACCTGCGAGCACAAGCCAATCCTGTTATCTTGATCATGCCAATACTAGCTAATACTGCACACCCAAAGCGCCGAGGCGGGTAGGGTGGGCGGGGCGTGAAACTGTACGACACGTGATGGTAGGGTGACTCACCTAGGGTTTATAGGAGTGACGCTCATAGAAAAGAAGTGCAAAGGTACTTAAGGTGACTCGACCCAGTTTTTTTTTGGGGGGGGTACCATCCTACTTTGAAGCTCTCTGGTATCCCCACCTTTACTTTTATCGTAAGTCTAACAAATAGAATGGATAACATATAGATCAATCTACAATACAACATAAAATTTTTGGCGATCGGAGTAAATGTCACGTGGTTATAATGCCACGCCCCTTTGAGGTCTCAGTCGAAAATATGCTGTTGCCGGCATTTTTTCGTGAAAATCTCTCAGCTACACATAGTGCGCATTAGTGTCTTGCGCTGAACAGAGTTTCACCAAAATCGCAAAGACCCAATTCGAGAAATTCAGTGGTCAATGGTGGCCCTGAAAAAATTTGAAGGAAAAAAAACTACGAATTTTTAAGAAAATGCTTTTTTCGTGAGATTGACTCTTAAACGCTGACAAACGTCAACAAATAACGAAAACTATAATTTCTATGTGTTTGCTTTGCTCGAAATCGCGCGCATTTACAAGGCCCTAAAGCGTTTTGCTGACTTGCAAGGACCTATCTGTTATAAGGATGCCCAAAATACAGAGATGAATCTCATAGTTTATTAGATATAATCCGTGTAAAGTTTGCTTATCATTTTCGCATAAATTATGACCTAAATTTGGAAACCGCTGAATTTCTCGAATTGGGTCTTTGCGATTTTGGTGAAACTCTGTTCAGCGCAAGGCACTAATGCGCACTATGTGTAGCCGAGAGATTTTCACGAAAAAATGCCGGCAACAGCAGATTTTCGACTGAGACCTCAAAGGGGCGTGGCATTATAACCACGTGACATTTACTCCGATCGCCAAAAATTTTATGTTATATTGTAGATTGATCTATATGTTATCCATTCTATGTGTTATACTTACGATAAAAGTAAAGGTAGGGAAACCAGAGAGCTTCAAAGTAGGATGGTACCCCCCCCCCCCAAATAAACTGGGTCGAGTCACCTTAAGGACAACCTCCTTTTTGACTCGTCACAGATCACAGCTTGACCCTGTTTAGTCTATGAGAGAAGTACCGTAGAAGGTTGGGGTTGAGGGCTGCTTAGTCCGTATGTGACTAACTCCGGCAACTACATAGTCTATTCTTCAGGTTCATCTTCAATTTCTCAACTTGTATCAGGAATCAGTGTGGCCGTGATCGCAACTATTGTTCAATCGATAAGCTATCAAGCTTTTGCCAAGTTTCGTAAACTGCTTTCCCAGTGATTTCTCAAGCAGCTTGCAAAGAGTTGGAAAAATTGTGATCGGGCAATTCTTCTCTACTTCCTCTATTTTCGCGATAGAGATTATCGAGCGCACGTATAAAAAAACCGCTGGGAATGAGATTGACCGCCAGCGCAATGGGGTCGCACGTTCGCTTCGCTCCCGCTCGCAAACTCTGTCAAAAAAGGCTATATTGCATCATACTCAGGGTAAATGAGACAAGACGCCTTTAATTGACGATATTGGTCTGTCTGAGTCACTTTATCTAAAAATAACCCATCCCCTCTCCTTCAAAAATCGGCCCACTGCTGGAGGAATGGGTCACGCAATGCCTTCTGGGAGATCCGTTTGCCATTTCGTCTTTCTTCGGCGTAGACTCACTATTTTTGGCCACAGGCAGCCGAATAAGAAATGAGGAACACAAGCATAGCAGGGTATTAAATTTCGCGTCTTAATATAACTTCCGCTAGAACTTCTTTTCGTGGGTACAAAATTAATGACTGTGCGTTTCCAGTTAGCCTGCGGAGAGCAGACTCTTGTTTCGGCTCTTTTTTCACCCGCCGAGAAAAAAACGTCTGCTTCCCGCAGGCTAGTTTCCAGTTCGCCATTTTCCCTTTTAATTCTAAAGATAGTTTCGCCATAAGAGTACATATTTCGCGCTTTCTCTTCCTCTCCTTCTCAAGTCTTCTTCTTGTCTCTTTTTATTTTGTTTTTCTTTTATACGCGAAATAAGCGATTTAATGACCACAGGAAGCCGAACGTCACAGTTTTAATAATGGTCTGTTTGATAGCATGAAAAGTGGCCTGCGAGCAAGCTGTCCGCGGCACTCTTGCTTCGGGGCGGGAAAAGGAAGGAGAGCTTGCAACTCATCTCTGGAATTTGAATATCTGCATCGAAAAAGTCGATGCGAAATGCTGATTCGCGGAGATGACATTAGTAATGACATCATTACCCTTGGCACGTGTTTTTCAATGTTTGTTTACATTCACGCTCGTTTCCGCTTCGGACTGACTGACTGGCGGAAATCTGACAGCTCAGTCGACGGGGAGCCACAGGTGGAATTCAAATTCCAGAGACGTAGTTGCCAGCTCTCCTTCCTTTTCCCGCCCCGCCGCCAGAGCACCCCTGAGAGCTTGCTCGCAGGCTTCATGAAAAGCTCAGGCCTACGCCTCTCAAATTTGCGGGAAACCACACACACTATACTAAAGACACACTTCTGCTAAAACCCAGAGACAACACCTTATCTCTGAAAACATCGATAGAAAAGAAAGGTGGTAGAGGGTCATATGATATGATAAAGGTTGACGCTTTGATTCTCAGACAAAAATCAAAGCCAGTTTTTAGTTGGTACGTGGATGTCAATGATCAGTGGTTTCTTGTCAGGAACTCAAACTCAAAGCCAACTACTGCCATCTCTTATTTCAACAGAAAGCTTTAAAGAAGGAAAACCAAGATATTCTATCACAATTCTGTCTGCCAGATCTTTATTGCAAAAAAAGAAAAACAAACAAACATACAAACATACAAACAAAAATGCAGTTTACAACGCAGGGTCCCTTTCATCTCAACCAACCATTAAAAATGGCCTTTGGTCACCCCTTTACAGTTACTGTAAACATAACCCATTACATTAAATAGAAAATTCTTGAAATGAGACTAACTAACCCCTTATGAACACCCTTAATTATCCTGTTGACAGAATAAATCAAAGTGATACATTAATTTTTTTTGGATAGATTAACATTAAGTCAGTTGACAGCGATGATATTACACATTGCTTTCTTTTAACTTTCGTATTACTTGATGCTTATCAGCTCCACATCAAAATGTAAAGTAGCATTTGGCGGGATATTAAAAATGGTTAAGGAAAATCAAGTAACAGTGGTCCTCAAACCATCATTTTTCTCCAATTTGAGAGTGCAATAACCTTAAATCCTCTATTAAACTACCCTCTCAACTAAGCGCCCCCC